TTTAAGGACATAGAAAATAGTATCATGAAGGATTCTGCTGAAATGGTATTACAAAAAACTTGTGAAGAATTAGAAATGCTACCTCTGTAGACAGGTGAGAAGCTAAGAAGAAAGAATTTACTCCAGGAAAAGCAGAAAGTTGTATAAAAGGAACAAGGTTAGAGTTCACACCTTGGCTCTGCAATCAACACGACGGACTTTGCCTGCAACGTCCTCATCATCACCGGCATTTCCTAAACATTCGCTGCCCATCAGTCACTGTCCCGAGGTCTTTTCATGACATATCACACTTGCTTTTGTAAGCAACCTATGGGAAACGCACCCTGGAATCTCCCCACCATGCTCATGGGAACTCCAGGGACAGATCCAGGTTTGAATTCGGAAATGGGACTCTAACACCCAGGCCTTTGTGGACAGTGGGAAGCAGCAGTGGGGAGACGAGGGTCTGGCCTCAGGAGTCCCAGTCCCACCGCCCTCAGCTGGGAAGCCCACAGGCACCGTCTACGGCTGGTCAACCTGACACAGGAATCAGGAAAATGGGGCCCTGGAACAATCAGAGCCTCGGGACCCTGGAAGGACTTGGCATTTCCTGGGTGATGCCAGGAGCCCCTGGGCCGTCTCCCTCAAGGGCCAGCATGGCCCCAGGAGGAGGCCCCAAAGCTGCTGCGTGGGGAGCTGGCCAGAGAACAGGGCACGTTGCGGGCTGGGCTTTCAAGCTGGAGGAAAGGAGAGAGGCTGAGAGGCACTGAGGCGAAGCACACGTGGCTGTCATGCTATGATGTCCCCCCTGGCTCATGGGTCCACTGGGGACAACGTCCTGGCACGGGGAGACTGGCTGGACTGTGAGATGGTGCCAGTGACAGGCTTGTGAGGAGTCTCAGAGCTGACTCAGAAACAGCCTGGGAGCTTAACGGGCCCTGCGTGGCTCACTGGGTGGCCCAGGGCAGGTCCCTTGGTGCCTTAGACCTGTTTTCTCTCTCCAATGGAATACGACACCTGGACAGGGGTCATGGGTGTCAGTCTAGGGTCTCCAACTCCCATCAACCTCTTCAGGATTCCACACACAAATCCCAACCCAAAAGTCAGGTGTAGTGGCACACACTTGTCATCCCAGTACTTGGGAGGCTGAGACAGGAGGACTGCTGCAGGTTTAGGGTCAGCCTGGGCTCCACAGCAAGACTGGTCTCAGACAAAACAAAACAAAACACCCATCCCAGACTGTAGGCAAGGAGTGATTAGAGACCTGCCCAGGGGACAGAGCAGCTGGCTCTGATAGAAATAGCCATGCGAGAGGCCCTGAGGATAGCGGCCAGCAGGACTGTCCACAGCTGCGCTGATTTCCTCTGACCAGAAGCATGTTTTGGGATGCTTAGTCCAGGTTGTAGCTCAGGGCCACCCAGAGGTCCCCACGGTGTCTGTCTGTCCAGGGTATGGGCTGAGCTGGAATGCAAGGTGAGACAGTTCTTCTCGTTAGACCCCAGACTCCTCTGGTACCCCCAACTCACAGAGCAGAGGGTGGGCTGCTGCCCGAGTGCAGAGCCATGCAGTCAGCGGCCAGTGTCTGCTCTGTAGCACTCAGGGCTAAGCCCCGGGACTTCGTACTGCACTGTACCCCTGGTTGTTTTTATTTTTTGAGACAGGGTTCTGCTGTGTCACCTAGCAACTTGTGACCCTCCTGCCTCAGCCTCCTGAGCCACTGGGATTACAGACACTGCACAGCCAAGACAGGCTGCAGGTGGTTTTAACCAGTTGAGCAGTCTCAGAGAAGCAAATTCACAGGGAAGGAAGGGTGGTTGTGGTGGGTCCAGCCTGAGATGGGGGTACACTCTGCGTCCGGGGTGAGGGACAAGTGACAGTTACCAAGCCAGGCACAGCGTGTCCCTTTCTCTACCTGTGAGCAATTGCACAGAGCCCTGTGCTCCTGTCACTGGCAGCCAGGAGACAGGCCCTGTGGGGCCGCAAAGGAAGTGACAGTGCACCTGTTCAGAAGCATCCCTGGGATGGCCCAGCGGTGAACGTGAATCCTAGAGTGCCTCCTGAGGCACCAGGATCAATGTGGAGAAGGGAAGACCATTGGCTAGCTAGTGTGTCCCTGGGATCGACTGACTATTTATCTTTGGACTTTGTTAAGACAGGGTCTTGCTATGAGCCCAGGCTGGCCTTGAACTCTTGGTGATGCTCCTGCCTCAGCCTCCTGAGTGCTGGGATTACAAACCTGCCCTATCTTTCCTGGCTGCATCCACAGGATTAAAACCCCAGCTCGCCCTGCCATCTGCTCTCCTGTCTAGCTGCAGTGTAATGGGGGGCTGAGGCTTGGTCTTCGGGGGCATCATCAGGAGGCTTCGGCTCCTTCCTGGGGGCTCGTCTCTGACCACCCTAGAGGGATGGGTCCCTGGCCCCATGACTTGTGCAACTTGGCCTGGAACTGTCCTGAGTCCTGGAAGGCCCATTCTGCACCTACCCTGCCCCCTATTCAGTCTCTTGCAGTCGCCCACGGGCTCCAGGATGCGCTTGGCTCCTGGGCAGGGGGTCCTCGTGCCCCAGGGCTCCTCAGGGAGAGGCCACTGGGGCTCAGCACTGTGTCACTGAAGCTTGGTGTGGCCACAAGGGGAAGCCAGGCAGCAACCACCTCAGCCTCCTCAGAGCCTGGACGAGGCTGCCAGGGAGTGCAAGCTGTGGAGACGAGCTCCGGGCCTTCGAGGAGACATATGGGGTCCTTGCTGCCCTGCACTTTGCTCCTCAGGGCTGTACCTCTTTCCTGACAGCCAAAGCTCCCACTGACAGATGCGTCCTGCAAGGCCTCAAAGCACAGCTTTCTCCAGGAAGCCCCTCTCTGGTCCCTCCCGTAGGCTGCCTTTATCCCAGGTTCCCGTGCACTTTAGGGCTCCACACGCCCTTTCCAAGCCTGGTTGCCACCCACTCAGCCTGCGCATCCTGAGTTCTTTCCTCTTTTTCTTTCTCTCTCTCTCTCTTTCTTTCCTTCTTTCCTTCCTTCCTTCAACAGGGTCTCACTATGTAGCCCAGGTTGGCTTCAAACTAACAGCAATGCTCCTGCCTCAGCCTCCCAAGTGCTGGGATTCTAGGACAATAGGAATGACTCCTTTCCAACTCAGCACCTGGAGGGTAGAGCCCAGCTCCCCAGGACAAGGCCTCAGGACACCAAGACATGGATCTGTCACTCCAGTGAGGAGCCCAAACTCCGACTCTCAGCAAATACCTTTGCCAGCCGCACCATGCATTTAAGGAATCACACGTGGCCTGCAGTACAGCCCACGGTGGGACCTGGTGGCTGTCGGGAAGGACATGCGTGGGGACCGTGCCCACCTCCACCCCCTCCTGTTGCTAGTGCCCCCTCCCGTCGTCCTGGGAGCTCGGCCCCCCAGGTCAGAGCTGAGCCCAAGCTCAGGCAGGACAGGGGAGTCACAGCCTATGCGGCAGCCTGGGCTGACTCGGTGTCTATCTTTGTCACCACCAGCTGTGCTCGAGGGGTGGGGACCCGGCCAGGCAGCAGCCTTGAGGCCCCCTCGCCCCTCCTCCAGTCTATTTTTATAAGAGCAGTGGGAAGAGGCAGACTTTGGGGTTTTCATCCTCCCCATCTTTTGTCCCTGAACCCCAATGTTGAGGTGAGCCTTTGGCTCCTGGGTCCCCTCTGGCCCTCCCAGAGAACGTTCGTGGGCTGCAGTCAAACAGGGCACCCCAGGACCTCATTCAAGCAGCCAGGCTGAGCGAAGGCCTATATTTAGCCCAAGGTCCCAGAGTTCTATTTATTAACATGCACAGCAGACACCAAGAGTACCCACTGCAGGCCTGGCCTGTGCTGAGGCCTCGGGTACAAAAGCCAGACACCAGCTCCCTGGGTCACTTTCCACATTCTGACAGACAAGGCACCCAGACAGCTACACCAGGGACAGAGCGAGAAAGAGGGGTCAAGTGGAGGCTGGGAGACTTGTGCCAGGGGTGACAGGGAGAGCTAAGTACAAAGAGGTCTTCCAGAAGGCAGATCAGTGATTGGGTTTCCAGGGATGAACAGGAGTTTGACAGGACGGCCTTTTCCACCTCACACACAGAAACACATGCCTTTATTCACTCAGTGCACAGCACATACTGACTGCCACGGGTCATAAAAGCAGCATCAGACCTTCAAAGCTACAGACACATAAGAATCGGTTTCAGGGATTCTCTGCCCAGGGCCAAGGACGTGGAAAGCGACCCCTGTCATGCGCCCACGCAGGAAACCTGTGTGGACAGCGGTGGTGCCCGTGCATGGCTTTCTCTCCAGTGAATACATGCAGGCCCACGGAATCAGCTTGCGGAGGCCACAGGGGAAAGCGAAGCCCCTGGTCCACCCCGCGCCCCAGCCCGGTGTCCCGGCCTGGAAGCCTCGGGGACTCCTTTCCGGGCCGCGGGTGCCCCAGCCTCCTTCCCGCCAGTCCGGGCACCGAGCACCAAGCACCGAGTGCGGGACCCTGCTGGGAACTTCCAGGCGGCTCGTAGGCGCGGGACCTGGCTGGTCCGGACCCAGGGTCCAAGCCTTGGTGACAGTGGATGGCAGACGGTGCCCGGTGCATCCGATCCAGTCCGACCCGGCAGGGCCACGTGGGCTCCGCGGACACCCCGGCTCTGCTGTTCACGGGGTCCGCGCCGCGGGAACGGGGGAGGGGATGGCAGCACCACTGGCCGGTTCTGTCCGGGAAGGGTGGGGTCCCGGGGCCGGGACCGCGGGGTGCCCGCAGCTTGGGCCCCATCCTGCCCTGTCCCCGGCTACTCACCTCGCGCGCGATCTGGCTCAGCGTGTCGTCCTCGGCCGTCAGCCGCTCGCGCTGCGGGAGCCGCCTGCGCCCCGCGCCCTGTGAGCCCATGGCCCCGCGCGTCCGCGTCCCGGCAGCTGCGGCCGCGGCGCCTGCGTCCCCGCGCGCTCCCCTCTTCCCGGCCCCGCGCGTCCCCCTCCCCGCGGCGGCGTCATGGCGTCACGGCCGGGGGCGCGGGCGCGGCGCGCACGGTGGGCGGCGCGGGGAGGCCGAGGACGGGGCGGGTCGAGGAGGAGCTCGCGGGTGGAGCGGTCCCTGCACGCGTGGCCCCCATCCCGCTCAGTGCACCGCTGCTGCTGGTGATGGACTCGCCTGGCTCCTGGCGCCCTCTGACATGGCACCCTGGGGTACCCTAGAGTCCCGGGTGGGAGGTCGTGGGACCCTCACCCTCTGCCAACTATCGCTGGGGTCAGCGGGTCTTGAAAGAGGCGCTGGGGGCGGGGATGAGTGGCGGGGTTCCGAGGTTTGGGGAGAATTTCCAGGTGGCTGCCTAGGGCGGGGCAGAGCCGGCCTCTGTGCCCTGTGAGTTCCCCCGTAACTCGGGTGGGAGGATCACGGCAAGTGCCGACCCACTGTGCGCCTGAGGGACGTGACCCTGGTTGGCGGTGAGCATCACCCTGCTCCGCTCAGACCTGGCTGGAGGCGGCTGACACCCCCCCCCCCATCCATCTTTCAGGTACCCACACCTGGACCTGTCCTGCATTAGGCTGGAGGTGACCCTACAAGGGATCTGGCTGCTGCCCTCTGCAGGTGACTGCGAGAAACTCCTTTTCCAAGGCCCCTTCCAATAGTTCCACTCTGGGAGAAGTTTCTAAGTCCCCAACCCTCCCCACCCCCCCCCTGCCCCCACCTCCCTGTGTGGCTCAATGTTCCAGTCACTGAGGCCCAGTAGCACACCCACAGCACAGCGGACGGGAGGGTTAGTTAGGCTCCTGGTTTTAGAGGGGTCAGTCACTGAGGCCCAGTAGCACACCCACAGCACAGCGGATGGGAGGTTTAGTTAGGCTCCTGGTTTCAGAGGGGTCAGTCTGTGGCTGCTTCCCAGTGAGGCAGCCTGGTGGAAGGTGTGGTGAGCAAAGCTTAGGTCACGGGGCCTGGAAGCATAGTGGGGAACAGTGCCAGCGGAAAACGGGCCAGGGCCCAGACACAGCCCAGGTCACACCTCCATGTCTGAGCCAGATATGCCCAGAAATGAACTTCCCCTGGGTATTTTTTTCTTTCTTTCTTTTTTTTTTTTTTTTTTTTTTTTTTGTACTGGGAATCAAACTCACGACCTGGCACTTGCCAGGCAGGCGCTTATGCCGCTGAGCTAAATCCCCAGCCCTCCTGGGTATTTCTTAAACCAGGCGAGTTGACACCACTGAAGGTGACCCTGCCATTCCCTCTCCTGCCCTGCTTGGAGTTTTGGTTTTTTTTCTTTGTCTTTCTCTGTTCTTCCTGGGAACTTCGGGTCACCTGTCTTCTAACACTTTGAGGTTCTCCATGATGACCTCCTAGAAGAGGGCAGGAACGAATGTGTCACTCTTGTCCCCTCTGGAGGAATGACGGTGGACCAGCCCATGAGTATTGTGACTGAATGTGTGCAGGGAGTAGCTGCTGCTCAGACGGGGCTCCCACCTCCAGGACTGGGCGGAGGGTCTGGACCCTGTGGACGGGGTCCTCGGACCTCACCGTGCCCCCCCCTCCAGGGCACAGCCAGCCTTCAGGAACCCTTACTTACTGCACTTCTGGTCCACAGGTGCCCCTAGGTGTCCTTACAACCCTAGGACCCACACATGTGTCTTGTTTAGTCACTCGTTTTTTATTATTTCTTTGTATTTATTTATCTTTGAGACAGGGTAGTTGGTTTCTCCCTCACAAGTGGGATGCTTCTGGCTCATGGTGACACTGCTGCACACAGTGGGGACACTGTGCCACCGTAATGGACAAATGTGAGGTGTCTGTGGCAAAATGGGGGCACTTCATATTATGTTACATGAAATAGATCAGACAGGCAGGTTTGTCGCATGGTTTCTCTTTTATGGAAAACCCAAAATATATACAAAGTGCAAAGAAAAGATGACAGGAAGTAGGGGAATCTTTTTCAAATGGGAGGGGGGACAGAGACAGAGGGAACGGGTCAGGGAGAAGCATTAGGCTGCGTTCTGTCCCAGTGCAGGCGCCCCAGCAGGAACCCAGCCACCGTGTACCCCAAAGATGGATGCTAATAGATAAATCATAACAAATGGTCGATTCACGTGAAGACGTTGGCTGTGCTGCGCTTCTTCTGCGGTCGGAGGCACCGTGATCTGGTCACCTTCCACACCTGTGAGACTTTGGGGGGGACCCTTAGCCCTAAGCCAGACACACAGGCGCATGAGGCAGCTCTGTGGTTGCCTCCGTGTTCGGGGTGCCATCCTGCTGAGCCGTGGTGGCTGTCCCTCCGCCTGGCCTGTAGCCTTCCTGGGAGGCAGACGACAGCCCGATTCCATCCACATTCCTGTGGTCCTCGGGGTGTAGGGACCTCTCCACTCAGGAGGGCTTCTTTCTGGTTGGAGAAGATGCCTCACGGATCTGACGTCCAAGCCCAGGGAGTCGCCACGTCCATCTCCATGCCTGGCCCCAAGATGCTGCCACTTGTAGCTGCTCCTCTCAATGGCTCCTGTGGAAAATCTCCACAGCCCACGCCTGCCCCACCCAGAGTGGCTGTGGGAAGAGCTGTGGACTCCCAGGACACCACCATTTTCACCTTTGTTTGTTTTTGTTTTGAGAGGATTTCACTTTGCAATCCAGGGTACTCATGAATTCACTATGGAGCCAGGGTGACTTTGAACTCACAGTGATCCTCCTTGCCTCAGTTTCTGAGTCCTGGGATTTCAAGTGTGTGCCACCCTGGTTCCTGTGGGCTTTTTGTGTCTGTTGGAGGCAAAACTGTGGATTCGTCGTGGGCTCCTTTCTACCCTAAATATAACCAGACACCCATGCTCATCTTTTCCAGTCCCCAGCACTTCTCTGTGTCTGTCTTCTGTGTCCCTGCTGCCCTCATGGTCTCCTGCTGTGTACCTGAACCCCTCAGCCTCAGGCAGCTGGTGGTGAGCCCATTTCCTGAGCGTGGGGTCCCCGGTGTGGGGACAGGAGACCATCCCACCAGACACAGAGGGAAATACTACAACGGGATTAATACAGATTTTTAAACTAAAAACAAGAATGAAGTGCTTCTAATTTTCATTTATTTTTGGTATCAGGGATTAAACTCACAAAAAACCAATGTCTTTTTTTCTTCTTTGGTATCAGAGATTGAACTCACGACTTCGTGATTGCCAGGCAGGCACTGTGAGCTGTATCCCGGCCCTCTGATGTTTAATTTTGAAGCTCCAAGTGGTTGCATGTGCTGTCGCAATGGTACCCAGTGATGCACAGCCTAGATCATCCCCAGGGCTGGAGTGGCCTCTCTGTATCCCTTCATTTTCCGAGTGTTTGGACACAGTCTGTGAGTAGATGAATTGGGTGTGTGGGCTGCATGACCTGGTGTGAGCTAAAACTCAGAGAGCAAACAAGGGTTAGAAAGATCCTCACCGAGAAAATTTCCCCCAAGCACTCCAGAAGGGAGCAGGAGAGGCATGGTTCCTACCCTGATAGAGATCCTTGGCCCATTTCAATTCCAGGTGATCAGGCAGGGCAAGAACAATTGGTCATCACTGACACTTTCTGAGGATGGATGTCCACATCAGGGGCTGAGGATTTAGCTCAGTGTCACAAGCACCTACCTGGCAAGCATGAGGTCATGAGTTCAATGCCTAGTATACCCCCCCCCCCCCAAAAAAAGGTCCACGTCTGTCATTGGTTAACTTCATTCAGAGTGAATGTTGAAACTTCACTGACAAACTAGGAACATAGTCTATATGTAAATAAACACTAATCCTCCTGCCTCAGCCTCCTGAGTGCTGGCATCACGGGTGTGTGCTACCGCACCCAGCACTGTAAAAGAATCTTGGAATTCACTTCTTTTTCTTTCTTTGTCTCTGCCAGTTGATCCCATTTCCTGCAGCCATGGCCTGTGTCGTGTCAGCTCTCTTGGCCAGTGACAGTTTGTCCCCTACAGGGCAGAGGCTGGGTGTTCTAGGCTGTCTGAGTTTTGGGGTTTCCTGGGCACCCTGCCCAGTGGTGGCTCTCAGCTATGACTGCTCCCTCTACACACCTGGGCGTCAGGGGCGGCCACAAAGCAGGGCTCCTCAGGAGCCTCCTGAGTGCCAGGATTCCAGGTGTGGGTCAACAGGCCTGGCTCACCTGAGTTCTTTCCTGCGGAAGGTTTCTCTCACCTCCAGCAGGCAGAAGTCAGGCTGCGAGACAGGCACTGAGCGGATCCAACTAAACAACTCCAGCCCTGTGCAGAGGGTGGGCTGGGGTTGGGCGCAGGGCTGGGGTGGTGGAGGCAGAAGCTGCCAGCCCGGCTCTGTGTTCCTGAGAACAGTGCTGGTCTCCCACTGATGCGCGCACGTCCTCCTCCAACGGCCTGCAGGTGTTCTGGGCCCCTGTCCCCGTTCTGCAGGATGCATGCTGTATTTTTGGCAGCAGCTTTTAAAAGCACTCTGTGTCCTTGATTTGTCAATTTTAAAATAGCACGAACATTTCATCAGGGTTTTTGTTCTGATGAATAGCGCTCTCGCTGGAAATGACTGGCGGTAGGAAAGCGCTCACCAAGCCACCTTGGCCTTGCGGAGTGTGACCCCAGGACTGGACCATCACCAGGCATCCTGTGCGGATCTATTTTAGGGACACAATAGGAAAATAGTTCGCCTCTTACTCATTACTTGGGTGTTCAAGTGGAACTCTTTGTATCTACTTTGTCTGCAGACAAAGAATGGTTTGTAAAATCTGCAGTTTATAGAAATCAGTTGCCTCTATGATGTCATTGCATGCCTATAATCCTAGAACTTGGGAGGCTGAGGCAGGAGGATCACTACAAATTCCAGCTCAGCCTGTGCTACATAGTGAGTTCAAGGCCAGCCTGGATTACATAATGAGACTCTGTCTCAAAAAAAAAAAACCCAAAAAACAAATAACCTGTCATCTTCAGCAGAAGAAAGACCAGATGAGTTCTTTGTGGTTTTTATTTATCTCTTTGAGACAGGGTCTTGTTATGTAGCCCAGGCTGCCCTTGAACTCACAGTGATCCTCCTGCCTCAGCCTCCTGAGTGCCAGGATTCCAGGTGTGGGTTAACAGGCCTGGCTCACCTGAGTTCTTGCCTGCGGAAGGTTTCTCTCACCTCCAGCAGGTGGAAGTCAGGCTGCGAGACAGGCACTGAGCGGATCCGACTGAACAACTCCAGCCCTACGCGGAGGGTGGGCTGGGGTTGGATGCAGGGCTGGGGTGGTGGAGGCAGAAGCTGCCAGCCTGGTGGGAAGGGCTGCCGGCCTGGACCCGGTATGACCCTCACGGACCTCAGCATCAGCCAAGCTGAGGGAAGGAAGGAGAGAGCCGTGTGCCTTGGCTGGACCTGGGCAGGGGCGAATGGGGCACACCCAGCCCCAGGAAGAGGACAGATGAATGGACAAAGGCTGAGGGCAGAGAGCCAAGGCTGTCCATGCTGGGCAGGGAAGGCAGGCCCCATGTGGTGTGTGTGTGTGTGTACTCCTATGTGTGTGCTGGGGCGCGTGCCAGGTGAACCCTGAACCGCTTCTTCCTGGACACCCATGTTTGTAGTGACACTGTTCACAGCAGACTGGACGGGACGGCCCTGCTGTGGTGTCCACAGATGGGCAGTGGTGATGCTGTGGGTGCACATGAGCTCTGTCCAGCTTCACAGGGAGAAAGAACGTCATCTGCATGGAAGTGGATGTAACCGGAAATCATCACGTTAAGCAAAATAAATTAGATTCAGAAATATAAGCATCATGTGTTGCCTCGTAATGTGTGGACTACTAAAAAGAAAACAAATGATGACACGAAAGTAGGAAAGTGGGCAAGAGATGCTGGAGCACACCAGCAATCCCAGCACCGGGGAGGCTGAGGCAGGAGGGTTGCTTTGAGCTTAAAGTCAGCCTGGGTTACACAGAAAGATCTGGTGTCACATAGAAGAAGGGAATGAGAGGGGGGCTTGGGGAAGTTAACAGGGGTACAGATAGCTCCATGCCTGTGTGAAGATACCACATCGAGCCCCAATACCCTGGGAGATTAATGACCAGAGTTACATCTTTTAAAAGAGCCTGCTTTCATCTTTCCTGGTGGTGAAGGGGAAGATCCTGGGAAATGCTGCATGCTGCGGTCCGCTCCACCTTGCCTGTGTCCTGAAGGCCCACAGTTCACTCACCCCTCACCAGGCTGCCCTGCAGGGAAAGTGAGCTCAGATTCTGGCTCCTGCCTCCCACAGTCGGGGACCTTGATGCCCTCCAGCCTCATAGATCAGAGCCTTGGTCCCCAGGCGCTGAGGCGGAGGTGGGGCCAGGAAGGTTCCTTCATAAGGAGAAGTTCCGAGGCCTGAATCACAAGGGAGAGGCAAGGGCTGCACCTCGGAGGCTCTGTCTGTCTGTCTGTCTGGGTCCCCTTCTTGGTCACCGCGAGGTGAGCGGCCTCCTCCTCCAAGGGGTGAGCCTGTCCTGAGGCTGAAGGAGATCTCTGACCTGGAGCTCGGAAGGGACCCTCTCTGCTTTTATTCAGAGCTCTCATCCCAGGCCACCTGTCACAGGGGTGAAGGCTGACTGACCCCTCCTCATCCACTCTTTCACCCAGAACCCACAGCCCTTTCGAGCGCCCCAGCACAGGACAAGGCCTCCTTGTGTTCCAGGTAAGGCGGACACCTACGCCCCTTTCAGTCCCTGGAGGTGGCATTTCTTGAGGTGATCATGGGATTGGGTCACTGTCTGGAAACCAAGGGTCCCTAGCTGAGGGGAAGTAGGCATTGCGGCTTGGAGGCCTGGGGAGAGACAGGGAGAATGCAGGAAGCCCCAGGCCAGGGCATCTCATGAGCAGGACGCTGCATGGAGTTACCCCCACTGCCTTCACCCCAAAGCCCCTTGTGCCACCTATGGGCTCAGAGCCAGTGAGCCGGCCTGGAGATGTGCCAGGTTATCAGGGAAGACGCCCCTGGCAGAGCCCATCAGGTCAGCAGTGGGGTGCAGGCTGCTATGGCAATGCCTTGCAGACCGGATCCCTGGGCTGCTTGCTCTGAGTGTGGGTGCTGCAAACCTGGAGCTGAGGAAGAGTTTTCAGGTGGGGGTGGGGCCGGCTGACCACTCCTGTCTGGGATGGCCATGTGCATGTGTGTGTGAAGACCTGGAGGCAGGAAGCAGTGTGCACCGGATCCACGGGAGCTTGAGGGCTGCATGGCACCCAGTATCACCCTTCTTGGAGGGCTCTGGGGAGCCCCTCACTTTCAAGTGCCAATGCACCCTTGGGCATATTAGGAAGGCCAGTCCTGTTCCTGGGCACTCCTGGCCATCCTTTGGAGCTGCTCCCAGCCGATAACAACTTTGCTTTAAAGGACATAAGACGGTAATTTATTCCCAGCCAATAAGAATGATCAAGTGATCCAATGGCAGAGAACACAGGCCTGGTTTCCCGGGATGATGTGTTTCCCAGCAAAAGAGACTTAAGAACTTTCAGAGCCAAATTGGGCGAGGTGGCACCCGCCTGTAACCTCAGCACTTGGGAGGCTGAGGCAGGAGGATTGTTGCAAGTTCGAGACCAGCCTGGGCTACAAAGTGAGTTTAAGGCCAACCTGAACTGCATAGCAAACTTTGTAGCTGACTTTATAGCTCACTTTGTAGCCCAGGCTGCCTTGAGCTCCTGGCGATCCTTCTGCCTCAGCATCCTGGGTGCTGGGATTACAGGCATGTGCCACCATGCTGAGTTTGGTTTGTATTTTTTAGTCTGTGCCTGCAGTATGCAAGGATCCCCTTCCCCGTAGGGAGTTGCTGCAGGAACGTCGCATCCTCATTCTCTTTGCTTCCCCTGCCTCACCCCTCCATCTCTTGGGCCTTTGTAAAGATGCAGCTTCACAGAGAACTTCACCTCTGCACCGTCCTTGCTGGGTGGGGGCCATCCTACTGCTCTCATTCTAACTCAACTGCCTCAGTGAAAGCCCCATCTCCCCAGACGGTCACTGCTGAGGGTCAAGGCTGGGGCTTTCATGCGAGAACTGAGGGGTTGGGGGACAAGTTCAAGCTGTACCTCCTTGGTGTAATCAGTCCTAGGGAGGCAGGGATGCCTCTGTGTGGGTTTCCCTGGCTCTGTTCTTTGGGAGTGCCTGGGCCAGCAGGGAAGCTTTCAGACTCCATGGATTTGTACCGAGCCAAGAATGTTCCCCCAGAAGACATGTCCTTCCGGAACCCCAAATGCGTCCCTCATGGACACTGAGCCTTTGCATAGAGTCTCAGCTTGGCCCTGGCCTCTGGGGCCTGCTTTGTCCTGCCTCTACAGTCTGTGGCAGGTCACTCAATCTCTCTGAGCCTCGGTCTCTCCACATGTAAGGGAGATAAATTTGAGCCTGACCCTTAGCAAACTGGACAAGTACTAGATCTAGCCTGGAACCTTGTCAGGACACATCGGCATGACAATCCTCTGGCTGCAGGTTGCCAAACCAACTCCAGCTCTCAGGAGTTCAGGAGCCTCAATAGGTAGCCAGGTCTGGGATGAGCCAGTGGTGAGCTGTCACCCCTAGGGGTTCTGTCACCCATTCATCCTGCCTCTTTGTGCTCAGAAGTGGACAGAGATCTGCCCTGCATGGCCACCAGTCACTCTGCCCCATCCCGAGTTCACACAGGGCTGGCAGTGACTGGGATGCTGCCTTGGGCCTGAGGGTGCCAGGAGAGAGGATCTCGAGTGCTAAGCTGAGGGTTTTGCAAGTGGCAAGTGCTCAGTAGGGCAGCTGTCTCTTGTCACGTTTCTAGTCCTCGTCCTCACTGAGTTGGACAGGGCCTCCTGCAGCCTGGCTCTGCCTACCTGTGCCCCTCAGACTCTGCCACTGAAAGTGTCTCCTGCCCTACACAGCCTCGCCCTATGCCCCAACTGCTGAGGGGCTGGAACGTCCCCCTCCAGGCCTCCTTCTGGGAGGAGACTTCCTGTCCCTGGGGAGGGGGGCTCTCTCTGGGCTGTACCTTCTGTCCTTGCAGGAACCCTGGGCAGCAGCCTCTGGCTCTGCAGGCTGCTGTCTCGCCCTGGGGGATGCTGGGCCACCAGTGACAGGACCTGGCTTGATTTGTTCCCTCCCCTGTGCCCTGCCTGGCGGGCAGCCACGCGCCTAGCTGATTTCGCAGCGGAGGAATTTAACTCTGGATCACAATCCCCACCAGAATTTTCCACTGAGATAAGCGAGGTTGAAGGCCTTGCTATCTCAGAGGCCTTAGGGCCCAAGGACAAGAACAAGGACATTCCAGGAGAGCTGGACTCAGATAACTGGAACCCTTGGGGTTGTCTGGCTGTTGCTGGGCCCTGGGGGTGGATCCCGGTGGAGGGAGGAGAGGAGGGAAGGCCTGTCTGCTGGCAGGGAGGCCCTGCAACAAAGATGGGGATGCGGGTGATACACTGGCCTGGTATGCAGGGCTTTTTTCAGCCACCAGGGTGGGTGAAGGGTGGGGGTGTTTGGCCCAGGAGGTCCCCAGATCCCCACAGGCTCCGAAACCCTCCTCCACTGCACAGTTCTGGTTTCTCCAGCAAGGTGACACCATACTTGTGGGAGTCCTGGGCAGTGGCCACATTTGAAGGCTCATGCAGCACCCTGGGAGAAGTGTGCTGCTCGGGTTAGATCCAGATCCTCTGGCGACCGGCCTGTGTCCATCTGTCCCCACCTCTCCCTCCGCTGACCCTTGCTGGTCCCCAGTTCCCCTCTGTGTCCTCCTCGGTCACTTCTGCCACTTTGCCCTTCATATGCTGCTGGGGGGAGGGGATGTAGCCCTCCCCCCTTCTTCCTCCTCCTCCTGCTCTTCGTCTCCTCCAGATCTCAGGAGCCCATTGCCTGTCCCTGCCTGGCAGCTGTGTGAAGGCCTTGCAGCTGCTGCTAGGGTCTGAAAGGTGCCTGTCTCTGCTGTCTCCCTCCCAGGCCTGGACCTGCCCTAACCTGATCTGCTCGTAGCCTCACGGTCTTGGCCTAGCTGAGCTGGCTTACATACCCACTGTCCCCCTCTGGACAGGCCTGGCTTTCAGCACGCTAGTCTAACTGCAGGCACATGGCCCCCACACGGCTGTGCCGCATCTAAAGTGCTCCCCAAGTATCCTGTGGTCAGAGATGCAGCTTTGTGAGGTGCCCGGATCATAGGGCTCGGTGGTCCCCCAAGGATTAACCCACCCAAGCACGCCTAGCTGATCATCCCTTAGGAGGTGGACCCTGGTGGAAGAGCATCCTTGAGGCAATGTGTCTGGGGGATGCGTCTCCCACCCTGGCTCCTCCCTCCAGTCCCAGCCCCAAGCTCCTCCCTCCAGTCCACAGCGTATGGGAACACGGGACCCCAAGCTTGCTCCCCAGCGCCCACCATGGAGGGAAGATAGAAATTCACATTGGGTGTGGTGGTGCCTGTTTATAATCCCAGCAGTCAGGAGGCTGAGGCAGCAGGAATCACCGGGAGTTTGAGATCTGCCTGGGCTATGTAGTGAGACCCTGGCTCAAAATACCAAAGAAAGGAAGTGAGATAAGGTTATTTATTTCGTGGCACTGAGGATTGAACCCCAGGGCCTTTGCAATGAGCTTCACCCTCCCCCACGCCCCGCCTTTTTTTTTTTTTTTTTTTTTTTTTTTTTACTTTTTTTGTTTTGACACAGGCTAAATTCCAGGTTGGAGCCGGAATTTGTGATCTTCCTGCCTCAGCCTCCTAGTGTGAAGGACTCTTCTTGGCTTCCAGTTGCGGCTTTTCTTCCACCTTTTTAATCAATAGCTTTGGGTAAAATCCACATGTGCTGTGCCTTCCACCTTCACAGAGAGATGTGACATCTCCTGGTAAGGCTGGCACCCTGTGACCTCTGTTCTGTCTGTACCAAGGTGCTCGGTGGAAAACCTCAAGGCCTCAAATAAACAGGAAGTGACAGGAGGGAGTAACGGGCCCCAGTGGGCAGCGAGGCCCATCCTCCTGGGAGGAAAGGAAGGGAATTCCTTGAAAGATCCGGTTAATCCCAGAAGGAAACCCGAGTCCTCGCTCAGCACAGCTGCCCGTTTGGCACCGCCTCCCTGTGTGCTAGCTGGGCACACCACCCTTCCCCCTGCAAAGGGACTGATTTGCAGTGAACTCTACCTGTATTCCAATTCTCGCACACCAATGTTTATTGCTGACTACTGGGGGTGTGGTGGCCCATGCCTGTAATCTCAGTGGCTGAGGCAGGAGGATTCATCTAGATAAGACCAGCCTGAACCACACAGCAAAAACAAAAGACTTGCTAGACATTTTGTCTTCCTCTATCTCTGGGGAAACCCAGCACCTCAGCCACACCCAGGGGAGAAAGTTTTGTTCTCATCCAGCCAGGGACATACTCCAGGAGATCCCCCAACCAACCCCAGGGTGCGTAGGGCCCAGGCTCCGGTCCAGCCCGCTCCTGGCTACAACCCAGGTCACAGCTGTTTGCTGAAGGGGTCAGTGCATTGGCCCAAACTCCCTCCCACTCTCCCAGGCAGTTGGTGCTCCCCTCGGGGTGGTGACTCCATGCATTCCTGAGGACGGTGCCCAGAATGAGGTGCACCCTGGAACAGAGCAGGACCTGGGACTGCAGCCAGGTGAAGCAAAGGCCGGCCTGGAACCTGATTTCCAGGTGCCCCTCTCAGATGGCCATGTGACTGGGTGGACTCTGCCCTGCAGCCTGGAGGCGAGAGCTGCTCCTACTGCCTCACTGTGGCTTCCTTGGCTCTGTCATCTGCTGCCCAGCTCACCCCCAGGCAGGGGACCCTCTCTTTCTCTTGGCCAGACACGGCTGCAGATCTGTGGGTCTCCCAGGAAGTGACCAGTGGCTGGCCGGAGCGGGTGAGTCATTGCTGGATCATCTGTGCAGCGTCTGGGTGTGTCTATGTACACTGTCCCGGGTCAGTCTTGAGGGGTGGGCTGGTGTCCAGGGCCAGGGAGCTCCTTGTTTGGGTCCTGCTGGGATGATTCCCACAAGGAAGCAGATTCCTATGTGAATTTTCCTCTGGGAATTTCTAGTTAAAGGCTTTGAGCAGAAACTGCTGTAATGAGGAGGATCACCCAGGAGTCCCATCAAATGATACCAGGAAGCCCAATCAGTACGGCTCTAGGAGTTCCGCTAGGTCTTTTGAATCTGGAGTACACACACCTCTCATCCCAGTACTTGGGTGACAGGAGAAGTGCCATGAGTTCGAGGCCAGCCTGGGCTACACCGTGAGACCCCGTCTAGAAAAACAAGGAGAGCAAACCCGCATCTTGTTCTCCTGTGGTGTGGACAGGCCACACCGGCTGGAAAGCGGCAGGAGGGCTGGAACGATCCAGTGAATGGAGCTCAGGCACCTCTGCCCGCCTGGCGAGGAGGTCACTCAGGACAGTCTCCGGCACCAGGTCCTCCTGAGGTGGTGGCTGGTCCTCGAGAAACAGCGGCCAGGTTACTTCTCTTTCCCTTTTCCCTTTGGTGGAGGGAGGAGAGATTGAGAGTTGAGGAAGCCAGAGGTCGGGGAGAGGGAAACCCCCCCCCCCAGGAGGAGGCAGGGTGTGAGGGTGTGGGGTCCCTGCCTCTGGATCACTTTGACAACACCCAGAGCCCATGCTAGGCCTCCTAGGGATCCCCGATAGTTTTCTCTCTCAGCCATGGGCAAATGGTTGCAATGCATAGTCCCCCAAAATCACACATGGAAAGTTTCCTGGAAGAAAGATAGTGTTTAGAGAAAAAATGGAAACCAAATAAAAACCAGGAGCAGGAAAAGGATGTAGCCGGTGGGGAGCCTGAAGGGTCCCCAATTCGAGGCCTTGTAGCCTAGGGAGCCCAGGACAGCAAAGCCTTCTGTGTTTCTGCCCTAGGCGGGGTGTGTGGCCTTGGGTTCTTTCTGGTGCTCATTTCAAAGGGACACATCAGCCTAGGACCACGCTGATGAAAATGTCACTCACGATTGTGATGTCCCTGTCTTGCCCTCATGGCCCAGGACGGCCTTGGCTATCCTAGGTCTCTTCTGGTTCCAAATGAATTTTAGGATTGCTTTTCTCTAATTCTGTGAGGTATGCTTTTTGGAATTTTGATCTGCATTGCATGAAATCTGTATAACAGATTAGGGGATATAGCTCTGTGGTATAGAGCCTTCCTGGCAAGTGCGAGGTCCTGAGTTTGATTCCTGGTACTAAAAAACAAATCTTGAAAGTACAGCTGGTTTCACTATATTGGTCCTTCCTACCCAAGAGCAAGGGATGTCTTCCCATTTTCAGATATCCTCTTGGATCTCCTTTTTCAGAGTACTGCAGTTTTCAATGTAGAGATCTTTTTCTTCCATCATTAGATTGATTCCTGGGTATTTCATTTTTTTTGGATGCTACTATGAAAAGGGTTGTTTCCCTAATTTTTCTCTCATTGAGTTTGTTCATGTACAGAAAGGTTACTGATTTTTGAGTGTTGACTTTGTATAAAGACCCAACCCAAAAATGGATATCGGAAATGAACAGAAACTTTTCAGATGAAAAAATACAATGCCTTGATCATTCATGTAATGCAAATTGAAACAACTCTGAGATTCCATCTCTTCCCAGGGAGAAAGGTTATCATCAAGAAATCAACCAATAACAAAAGCTGCTGGGGCTGTGGGGAAAAGGAGCCCTTCTCCACTGTTGGTGGGCGTGCAGACTGGTGCAAACACTGTGGAAATCAGTGTGGAGATTCCTCAAATAACTCGGACTAGAGTTTACGCTCAAACCAGTTATTCTGCTTCTTGGTATCTTCTCAAAAGAATAAAAGCATCATACCACAGTGATATATGTGCACTCATGTTCACAGAAGCAGAGTTTGTAGTAGCCAAATCTTAGAAACATCCCAAAGGCCCACCAGGTAGTGCACGAATAAAGTTTTTTTTATATGATGGAGTACTATTCTGCCATAAAGAAGGATGCACCTGAGACATTTCTAGGTAAATGGATGTGCCTTGAGACCACACTCTTAAGTGAAATAAATCAGACACACATGCATAAATATTACATTGTTTCTCTGGTGTGAGAAACTGAAAAATGTAAAGAAGGACCAAGACGTACAATAGGCATTGTGAAATAGGAAGAAAATGTTCAAACGGTGGTGGTGGGGTGAACGAGAGAAGGGAAAAGAAAAAAATGGGAAAGGTAGAAACAAAGCTTTTGTAAATGGGAGTAGAGGAGGGGCTGAAGGGAGGGGAAAGATCCAGATAGATCATGTCCAGGTACAAATTCTCTATGTGATCATTACCAGTAGGATCTGATTAGAAACTGTCCAAAAAGAAAAAGAAAAAAGCAAGCAAGAAAGGAAAGCTCACAACCAAATGGTGGGTTCAGTCTTTCGGGGCAAGAAATGATTTCTGCCGTACATGCACTATTCTACGAGCAGTAAGACCTTGGATTGCCAGGCAAAAAACACACCATTTGTGCCTGTAGTGGGGGACTGAGATTATGGGATGCTTCCTTTTCTTGACAATGCTGTGCTTAGAGCAAAACACCTTTTAACCGAGATGGATTTTTCTGAAGGGATACGCCGCTGGCATCTGGCATAGTCGTGGCCTGCCCAGGTTAGTTCGGACTTGTCGGGGGCCAGACCCGCTCTTGGTTTAGGAAGAGTGCTATTCATCTGAAGGAAGCTTAGTGAAGAAGTTTTGTGGCTGTCTCTAGTGAACAGCTGGGGTGCGGTGGCCACCAGCACTTTACCTCGTGAGGCCACAGTGTGCACAAGTGGGGTGTCTTCCCCGAAGCAGGCGATTTAAGCAGGAAATGACGTACTGGCCCAGGGGGCCCTGAAAGGCTCATAGCTCTGTCTTTAAAAGCTGTCATCCGTGCAGCCTGGCTGCCAAGCCATCATTTTGGGACTGAGTTTGAACTGTGGTCCCCGGGGTGGGGATGTCCTGGCACGTCGTGAGCCACTTGGCCAGTGCTGGGATGTCACCAGAGACCCCGAGTCCTATGGGTGAGCTGGGAACCTGCTCAGGTTTCCTGTGGCTGAGAGTTGGTGGTGATCTGTGGTGGCCTCGAACTTCACGAGGATGCTTTTCTCTCTTCCAGGGCTCTGTTTGGTGCCCTGAACCCCACCAGCCTGGTGCTCCTCCTGCAGGTGGGCAGGCTCCCCGAGGCACTTCCCCACAGGCTCACGGTGTGTGTTTCCCTTTCCCTTTTCATCTCTCTTGCTCGTGTGGCTTGTTCCCAGTGGAATGAGTCCCTGGAGGCTTTGGATGGGTGGCCATGCAGGTCCTCTGCTGGGCAACTGGGTCGTGGAATGCTGAGGGCTGGACAGGGCCATGTGGGGCCACTTCAGAGCCATGTAGCTCCCAGAACCAGACCCCACTTCCTTGGACAGACCTTGTTCCCACCCCAGCCACTCTTGCCTTCCGTTGGGACCAAGAAACTGTTCTCACTTCAGGCAAATATTTCAAAACACGGGTGCAAGTAACATGTACTTCTTTTGTGCTCTGTCTCATCCACCCATTCATCCATTCACCCATCCATCCATCATTTGTCCATCATCTATCTATCCATCCATCATCCATTCATCTATTCATCTGCCATCCACCCATCCATCCTCAATTATCCATCCACCATTCACTTTCTAGATACTTATTCGGTACCTACTATGTGTTATCCATTATTACCAGGCCTAAAGGACAGTCACAGTTCTAATGCCAATCTCAGCCTTCTCTGAGGCCCCTACAATGCTGCATGGACTTAGAGGGGACCCCTAGATACCCTTCCTGCTGTAAAACCCTGCCATCTCTCCAGGCTCTATGAATTTCCAGATAATTTCTGCTGAGGGTAGCTCCGAGGACTCCTCCCCGCTTGGCCTGAGACTTGGCTTCCAGTCTGCACTCTTTTCTCTCTCTCTGAAGTGGGTGGATGGCCACCTGGAAGGGCGCAGCGGGGCTCTGCTGACACCCAGAACCCCTTAGTGGGGTGGGTGTTGGTGGGGGAATGTTTTTCCTGGAAGTGACCCCAATGATAAACAGTGTGACAACACTAGGTTGTCACCGTTTTGCAGCTGCATGGTAACATAGCTGATCCAGTTTGCTGCAAGGCCTGTGAACCCCAAAAAGAAGACGTGATGTTCCATGCTTTCGGAAGATGCACCTGGCACCATGGTGCTTCCTGATGGAGGTTCCCTGCTACACAGCACACACAAAGACCACACAGGGGCCCCAGGAAAATGCGCATCACTACCCTAGAGTTGCAGGTGCTGGAACACCTGGGTTTTGCTTTAACCTGGTGGAGGCTGGTGCAGGTGACATGAGATTAGCCAGAGTGGGTAAGTGGAGTGGGGCAGGACACAGGGCCCGGCACTGTGTGTGTGTGCACGGAGGTTTGTAGTCAGTCTCTGTGTTTGGCTCACGTCTGTTTTGACCACAGAGCTGGTTTGGTCCTGTACCTGGTGCTGGGTTCTGCAGCTCCAGAGACAAGGGGAAGTCGGAAATGTGCAGAGCGCCTGGGGACAAACAGCAGCTGTTTTTAGGGAGATTTTTGAGAAACACTGACTTTAATCTGTGTATGATGTATGCTTTTATTTATTCATTTTGGAGACAGGGTCTCGCTATGTAGTTGACGGTGGGCCTTGAACTCACTGTAGCCCAGGCTACCTCAAAGTGATCCTCCTACTTCAGCTTCTTCCTGAGCACTGGGATGACAGGTGTGCACCACCACAGCTGGCTCTGACTTTAGTACATGCACAAACAGACATGTGATGCCCAGATACTTCTTATGGCTCCCAGATGCTTCAGATGCTGGGGGGTGAGAAATAGCTTCAAAGAGAGGGGTAAAGAACAGTGTGACCCCGGGGGGATGCACCTTTGAGCACCTTGGTCACTGCAGGGAGCGTTTTCACACACAGCCAGTTTGTTCCCCACTGAAGGTGTGACACAGTGCTCACCCCGCTGCAAGGCACCCGGGCCTTGGGCTTGGGCACTGTCCAGGGCCAGGTGAGCTGCCCTGTATGGTCTGGTGGGAGAGTCAACCTGGTCCTTTGCAGGGCACGGGCATGGCGCAGGCGGATGGGGTACCCCTGCCTGATGCTGCCCCCAGCCGTGTGTCCAAGCTGGTCCTGCTGGGAAGTGGCTCCGTGGGCAAGTCCAGCTTGGTGCTCCGGTATGTGAAGGGTGACTTCAAGAGTGTCCTGCCAACTGTGGGATGTAAGTGGCGGGTAAGGTGGGAAGCCGGGGCGGGGATGGGGGGCAGCGGGGGAAGGCTGTTCCTGCTCTGTCTGATGAGCAGCCCCAACAGCCTCTTGATGCGGCTTCCCTTTTGCCTAGGCTGGGGGTGGTGGGTGGGGAGGGAGGACCTCTCTCTACGGGGTTCCTCCCCTTCTATTTGAAGCAGGCTCTTCTATGTAGTTCTGGCTGGACTTGAACTCACTATGTGGTCCAGATGGCTTCAAACTCATGGCACATCCTCCTGCCTCAGCTTCCCAAGCACTGGGGATTACAGGAGTGCACCACAGGCGGGTCCTGTGCTCCTTAAAGATAGAACTCTCTTGGCTTGGGATGATTGTCTCGGAGCCCTGTGGACGTCCAGAGTTTGCTGTGTGGGTGTGGTTTCCTCAGAGGCACTGTGTGGCAGGAGTGTTAAGTCCTTTTGGAAACACTAAGCCTGAAAACTATTTATCTTTTTGAAACAGGGTCTTGTTATGCAGTTCAGGCTGGCCTTAAGCTCACTTTGTAGCCCAAGCTGCTTTCAAACTCAACGATCCTCCTGCCTCAGCCTCTTGAGTGTTGAGATTACAGACGTGCACCACCATGCCAGGCTTTGAAAACAGTGTGAGCTATGTGAACAGCTGGGTGTCCAGCTCAGTGGCAAAGAGTGTGGCTCACACATGTGAGCTCCTGGATTTCATCCCAAGTACCACATGAAAGAACAAAAAATAGCCAAGCCCAGTGGCACATCCTGTAATCACAGCATCCTGGAAGGCTGAGGTAGGAGAACCACGAAGAGGTTCAAGCTCAGCCTTGGCAATGCAGCAATTCAGCCAGATCTCAGTCTTAAAATAAAAAAGTTAACGGGGCTGAAAATGCAGTTAGGAGTGAAGGCACTGAGTTCAACAACCAGAACCACAATGAATCAGTCAATTGATCAATGGATCAATCATGTTGCAACTGAAAAATAAAATGAAACTGTGCTGAGGGTGCAGATCCATGCAGAGCCCTAAATTCAGTCCCAGGACCATCAATATTCATGGTTATGACAAAGCAACAATGTCACCGAGCAGAGCATAGAACAGAAATCTCCATGCGGGGACGGAACCTGGGATTTTATCACCTGGTGCAGCGGGCCGTGTGCCTGCCTGGGTGGCACAGGGTAGCCACTGAGGGTGTGACGGGTCCTCAGGACTGAGGTGACTGGGCCAGGGAAGCAGGGGGTGAGCAGGGCTCTGGGTGGGACCCTGAGGAGGACCCAGCAGGACTGAGTCCCCTGAAGATCTTTCTCTGCATGGAGCTAAGAAACTAAATGGAAGCTGAGACAATGACCCCTCCACTCTCGCAGTGACTGACCCCAGGAAGTACTGAACTGCATCCCCAGTACTTTGGTGAGATAGTCTTAACAAGGCTTCAAACTCAGGATCCAAGGTCAGGCAGGGTGGCACACACCTGTAATCCCTACAGTAGGAAGGCTGAGGCAGGAGGATCACTGCAAGTTTCAGGCCAGTTGGGTTAAATAGTAAGTTCAAGGCTGGTTTAAAAAAAAAAATACTGGTCAGACTGTCTCAAAAAAACCAAACACTCATGATCCTCCTGTCTCAGCCTCCAGTTACTGGCATTACAGGTATGTTTGACAATACCCAATTCCCTGGTGACTTAGTTTTTGGTGCCACAAACAGAAAAAGTTGTTTCAAACAGGATCAGCTGAGCAGCTGTCATGAGAAAGTAAAATTTAGACACAGGAGAGCTGCAGAGCTGAGAGCTATCCTAGGAGCAGATGGGGTCACACACCCCACAGCTCCGTGGGGCAGCTGGAGAGGAGAATCTGGGTCCCACTCCAAGACCTAGCCTTTAGTTTCGGGGTTCTTCCCACAGGGGACACTTCCCAGGCAGGACAGACCCACAGGCTGCCGGGGCTTTCACTTTATATCAGGGGGCTGACGACACTGAGCAAGAACAGTTCAGGAATTGGGGTCTAGGAGGCTGAGTGGAAGGAGGATTTCCATTTTGATTTGTGCTGTGTTGTGAGGTACAGGGGGTCAAGCAGCGAGTGTTGGTGCGAAACTACATCTTGTTCCTTGTTTGGGTCCAGGATAGTGTCACTCAGGCCCAGGGAACAGCCCTCCCTTGTCCCTGGAGTCTCTGCCAGCACCAAAACTGCATCTCCCAGAGCTGCTGAGCCCAGATCGGAGGATCCTGGTGTCAAATTAACCCCAAGGGCCCCAGGGAAGCAGGTTTTCCCATCACGCTCCCCCTGCTGTGGATGGAGTACAGCCCCGTGCCAGGCTCCTGTGCCTGGTGGGTCTGGGGCTAGGGCAGCTTCCCCGGACTTCTGGGTTCCCTGGAAGCTTCCCATCGTCCCCAGACCTTTGGGTTCACCAGCACCCTCCATAGCAGGTATGTCCCCAATCCCTATGGAGCTCTGCTTTGGACAGTGGGTCTCTGATGTGCGGGTTAGGGAGAGAGACGAGGAGGACAACACTGAGTGTGAAGTCCCACACCTGGTGTTGGGGCATTCTAGGGCACTGGGGTGTAGCATGGAGAGTGCAAACCCGGGGGCACAACTCAGAAAGACTTTGCCTGTGGCTGGAGCCCAGCGCTCAGGCCTGGAGCGGGCCTGGCAGCACAGTATGTGGGGGAGGCGAGACCAACTGGAACACCAAGGGCCCTGCGGCCTGAGAAAACAAATGGGCAGGAACGAAAGCGAAAGAGCAGGAAAGAGCAGTGCGTCTCTACCTCTGCCACCTCGAGTGCCCGAGGCCAAAGCTCCTCGATGAGGCAACTCAGAGCCCTTTCTCCTGCGACAGCAGTGTCCCGAGCTCCGGGCTGGAAACCAGGCAGAACGGTCTCGGTAGACATGTGAGGTTTGCTGAAGTCGTCTTTATTTAGGATCATTTCCTTTACAACCATCCACACGTTCGTCCCAGGCATAAATTCACAGCTAGAAAGTCAGATTCCTTTTTCTGACCGTGGATAGTGCCCAAGCCTACTGCCCAATGCCCGCCCTGTTCTTTTCTCCCTTGTTCTGGATCCAAAGCTCTGTGTGCCACTGGATACAAGGGGCCAGCTAGATGGGGACACAGGCTGGGCATGGGGTACAGTGCAGGGAGTGGGGCTCCCAGTTCTCACGGAGACGACAGTGGAGACCACTAAACCAGACAGTCCTGGGATGCTGCAGGAGCGTCATGACCCTCCGCAGCTCATGGCAGGCCCGGTCCCGCTGGAGGACAGTGGATGAAGGACCGTACATCTCTGTGGGAACCTCATACAGCTCCAGGCTTAAGTTGCTCAGCCTGGAAGTGTGGCCCAATAGCTGCTCCAGGCCATCTATGGACAGGGAGTTCTGCAGGTAGCGGAGAGCGCTGAGCTGGGTGCAGCGGCTCAGGGCGGGCAGGATGGCATGCAGCTGGGCTTCTGTTATCCCACAGGCCTCCAGGTGCAGGCTGGTCAGCGTGGCTGCAGTATTAGCCAGGAGGCTTTGCAGCGGGCCGGGACTGAAATCGGTCAGCCTCACGCCGCACAGCCCCAGGTGTGTCAGGTGTCTGGTGCTGGGATACTGTGGCAGTTGTTCCCAATCCGTGGGTGAAAGCTGGCAACGAACCAACGTCAGGGTCTCCAGGGGCAATACCAGGCGCCTACAAAGTGGCCCAGAGGTCAGAACCGTGAAAACGGGGGGCAATGGGGACAACTACAAGGCGAATCACCCCCACTTATGCCAAGGCCATTTACTATCACTCGTGTGATGAGTCCCCAATCTTCAGAGACCCCTTTCCTCTCAGAAAACCACAGGTCTTTCCCAAGGAGGCTGACGGGAGCCAGATAGGAAGGATAAATCAGACAGGGGATGACCACATTGTCCACTGGGGTAGCCATGTCTGTATCCCACTCCTGGCCCCATGCTCCTGCTCCTGGCTGTTAACTGGGACCCTGTACTTCTTGAGTGGTCGTTGGCCCTTCCCCGCCTGCACAGGGGCACGTGATCCAGACTGCCAGATGGAAAGGGCCACTAATGGGGAGACAGAGACAGCGGTGGTGGTGGTGAGCTCCCGTCCCCTCCCTGGACACTGCATGTGGGGCCTGGGCTGGATCTGTGGGTCAAGTGGGACAGCGGAGGATGTTGGCATGCGGAAGGCCCATTGAGCGAGGGGTGTGACCTCCGCCTCCCTTCACTGCATGGTGCCTTTCCTCTTTCTCAGCACCTCACCCTAGACGCACTTCCCTGGGAAGCTGTTGCTGACCCCTGGCTTCAGGCATGCTGGTGTGGTGGCCTTTTGGGCCTGGCTGCTCCTGTACAGAGGCAGGGATGGGACCCACACTGCGGGACCGAGGCAAGTTCAGGCAGCTCTATCTCTGTCTCAGCTCCTATGGGGGTCCGGGCCCTGCTTGCTAACCTTCCCAGAACCGAAAGGCTCTCCCAACCCGGCCCTGCAGCTTACCTTAGCACTTGGGCCAAGTGGTCTTCCAGGAAGAAGATGGAGTCCAGACAAATCTCCCGCAGAGAGTGGAGCTTAAGAAACTGAGTGGCGAAGTCTGTGATGAAGGACTTGTTCTCCTCGGGGATAACCAGTGGGTTTGCGTAGCAGTCACAGATCCGTAGCTTGCGCAGGTTGGGCATGTAGCTCAGGTAGTGGGAGAAGATGAACAGCGTGGACAGTGCCCAGCTGAAGTTCATGTCGGCCTCCTGCACGCGACTCAGGTCCACAGTGGCCAGGGACTCCGTGATGCTCTGAATTTTCTTTGCGGTGATGTGCAGTTTTACACAATCCAGCTGCACCAGACCTCTCCTCTCCTTGGTCCAGCGGAGGAGCTGGGATGAAAACTCACTCAGGAATCCCTCCTGGATCCAGATATCCAGAACCATTGTGAGGGGCCGCTTGGCCGTTCTCCTCCTCTTCGGGATCTCCCAAAAGCCTGCTTCCCGCAGGGATCCAGCCCAGACCTTCGGGAGGCCCTGCTGTGCGCACCGGGCGTCCACCGCCCGCAGCTTCAGCCTCCTACTCCTACGGGTGGAATGGGAAGGAGGCTGAGCATCAGGTCAGGGCTGCTTTCCTACCTTGCTTCCTGTCCCAGACCCTGGGGCCTTCTTGTCCCTTCCTCCTCACTCCAGGCCTACTCCTGGTGCCTGTAGGGGATGGGGTTCCCCCTGTTCCAGCCTCAAGTCCCAGGCCCTCCCTCCCGGGTACCTGGGGGTTGCCCTCACCTGGAGCTCACCTCCCGGTTCAGCATCTGGTCCAGCCCATCCAGCACAGCTTGGAGGACCTGCCAGTTCCTCCTCCTCGGCACTTGGACGGAGCCCAGCAGGCTGAGGAAGAGCTCTGGGCCCTCAGCCTCCATCAGTGCTCCCAGGGGCAGGCATGGAAAGGGCCAGGACAGCACCATGGCCTTCAGTACCTCCACGTGCCCCTTGGCGAAGGCCTCTGCGAAGATCGGGGGAAAGAGGTCCCCAGGCAAGTCCTCCAGGGCCCCCAGGGCCACAGCTTTGTGCCTCAGTAGGCCCCGGACTGCCAGCTGCAGGAGTGTGGGTGGGGACCGAGGGCGCATCCTGGAAGATCGGCAAGGCCAAGGGATCTGGGGAGACACCAGGGAGAGACAAGCTGAGATCCCTTCCCGCCTTCCCCACCAAGAACCCGACTTGCGATCAAAAGCCCTGGCCTGACATCGGTGAGTTCTGGAGGCCCCAGGCATTGCCTCTGCCTCTGTGGATGCCAGGACTCAGGTCTGGGCTCCTGGTGAGGAAGTGAGGCCACCAGTGACACACCCACTTCCCACGAAGCACCCCGAACTCTGGACCCCCCAGGAGCTGGGATCCAAGGTACATGGAACTCACTCCAAGCATCTCGGAGGAAGAATTTTCATTGGCCAAGAAAATGCAAATGTCCTAAGGCCCAATCTCTCTAATTCTGTTTCCAAAGTACAGCTGGCTAAGAAAAATGAAGCACAATACAAAATAAAAGCCATGAGATTTCATTCCAAGTAACTACAGAAGACGGGCTTTTCCTCCTACCCCAGAGCTGGCTCCTAGTCGCAGGGCCAGGTCTGATCCGCCAGCCTCTCCCGGGGGTCCCTTGGGTCACCCGTAGCGGGGCAGTGGAAACAGACTCAGCGGGGAAACGGCTCTCCAGTGCAAGCTGCTGGCTTGGGAATCTTAGGTCGAGAGCGCCCTCCTCTTTGTGGATGAAAATGCAGGGGTCAGAAGCTGGTGGGTGTGGGGTGAGTGGAAGAAGAATTTCAGAAAAGGGAAGCGCTGGTGAGTGAGGTTCATGGAACAGGAAATGAATACGTTGTTCCTGTCTCTCGTGTGACTTTGGCCAGATTGTTCCAGCTCCGATTTCTCCTCCGGGAGCGGGCGCGGGGCTGTGCGCGCGCTTGGCTGATTTTTGGAGGGGAGTTGTGCATCGCTGGCAGCTAGGACTGGGAGTTTGGGGGAAGGCGGCTGGCCCTCGGCTCGGCACCCGCGCCGCTCGCTGCCTTACCGTGTCCTCCCTCTCCGCTCCCTTCCGGCCGCGCAGAGCGCAGCAGCTCCCGCCCCGCCCGGCCGCCCCTCCCCCAGCTCCGCCCGCGATCCGGCCGGGCCGCGCCGCAGAAAGAAACGCGAGACCTCTGGGGTCACCCAATTTCCTAGATCCTTGTGGGAACGGCCACCCCGCTCCTCACCCCCCTTCCGCGGCTCTTCTGTCCCACAGGCACTGTCCTTACGGGCTTCGGGCTTTAGAGACGCAGATGGAGGGGAGGGCCGGTTCCAGCGGTCCGAAGCCCTGCGTAGGAGGGCAGTGGAACAACGGGAAGAGGCGGGTCCTACCGAGCGCCCTCCGCACCTCTCCGCAGGCAGCTGCCTGGCCTTGGCCGTGGGCCTTAGCACCCCTCCTTTCCCTCCCCAGGAGTCCAGCGGCCCTTCCACCTCCCTCAGTAGGCCAGGGGCAGGCGAGGTTAAAGCCGGACGCACTGAGGCAAACCTTGCTGCTGGCCATGGGGGCTCCCTGAGGCCAGCCAGGTGTTGGGTCACGCACCTCTTAGTCTCAGGACTCCGGACCTGGAGCAGGAGGATCACTGTGAGTCCAAGGTCAGCCTGGGCTACCGAGGGAGCTGCAGGCTAACCTAGATTAGCAGGGAATGGTAGTGCAGGCCTGTAATTCCAGCACTCAGGAGGCTGAGGCAGGGGGATCACCATGCATTTGAATCTAGCTACCTAAGAGTTCAAGGCCAGGGGGGATTACACAGGGAGACCTTGTATCAAAAACAAAAACAAAAAGAGAACAAACACCCCAAAATTTTGACTGAGTCCGGCGTAGTGGCACATGCCTGTGCTGCTGCTGCTCTGGGAAGTGGAGGCCCAGCCTAGGCCCTTTAGGGACTCAACAGACCTTATCTCAAAATAACCCTGGAGCGATGCAGGCCTATAATCCTAGGCATTTTGGAGGCTGAGGCAGGTGGATCACTGTACATTCCACGACAGCCTTGGCTACACAGTGTTTGAGGCCTGAGGCCAAGCAGTACTACATAATGAGAGTCTTTCTCTCTCTCTCTCTCTTTCTCAAAATAAAAAAAAATAGAACCAGTTGGGTGACATAGCTAGGCCCTGTCTCCGAGGAATAAGAAGCCAGGCACAGTGGTGCAGACCTGTAATTCCTGTACTTGGGAGGCTGAGGCAGGAGGATCGCCAGGAGTCTGAGGCCTCCAGAGCTACTCGGGTCACGTCCAAGCTAAACTACACAGCAAAACCCTGTCTAAGACCAAACAAATCAGCACCACCAACAAAAGCGGTCATCCAAAGGGAAAGATCACCAAATTCCCAGCACCACCTTGGACCTCTATCTCTATCAGATGCTGCCGAGGGTAGGGGGTGGGCGTCCTCGTCCTCATAGGGGACAGTGACTCACCAGGGGAGGAATCCAGGCGGCCAGGAAGCTCCAGCACCAGGTCTCTCCTCCCAGAGCCTGCGTCCCCTGCTTTATCCCCAGCAGCCACACAGCCACGCCTCAGCTCCCAGCTCCTCCTCCCGCCCCCTCCACCCCTAGAGTGGGCTTCCGTCTCCACCCAGGTGGGCTTCTCTCTCCTCAGGGATTGGTTTCTGCAAATCTCTAGGCGGGGACTGAGAAGAATTCAGCAGAGTGGTAGGCAAGACTTTGGTCCTTGATGCACTCTACAAACGCAGGTTTAGTTTTATTAGCTACTAGGCTGTCATGGTTGTATGAAACAGACTCGGGGCTGGCTGGTGTGGTGACTCAAGCCTATTGCCCTTTACTCTAGAGGCCGAGGCAGGAGGACAGCTGAGAATTCAAGGCCACATAGTGAGATGCCCTGTCCAAAAATAAATAAATAAATAAAATTTTAAAAGAGGCCTGGTTCTGATTTTGAGTAGAAATTCCTTGTAAATGGCTCTTCAGTGACATTCAAATTTTGACACTGTTCCAGAGTCACTGAGGGTGGGGGTGGTTACCTGATCTTGGTCAGGGTCTGCTATTTTGAAAGCTGAGGCAGGAGGATCTCTAGAGTCCAGGGGTTGAGGTCTATCCAGTGCAGTGATCATTAGATTTATCTATTATTTAGCTTGGTGTGGTGAGGCTCACCTATAATTACAGCACTCGGGAAGCTGAGGCAGGAGGATGGCTGCAAAGTCAAATAGCCCACACTACATAGTGAGACCTTGTCTCAAAAACAACAAACAAAACAAAACCACTGAAAAAAACAAAAAGATAAGCTTTGCTTGCTCTGGCTCTGGGCTTAGTCATCCTTGGTCACCTGTAGGCCCAGGTTAAGAGCCGTAGCTTTCAGCAAAGATAGTTTTCAAAATCCCTGACTATCCCAGAGGAAAACAAAAAATAGGGTCTTAATGAGCAGCGGGCCAAGTGGCCTGGAGCCAGCCTGTCCGAGTCCCCGGGTGGTCTCTGCCTGATCCTCACTATCAAAACTTCTACCGCCTGGGGTCCCCAGCTCTCCGGGGCTGAGCCTCACCCACCCCTTTCCTGTGCTGCAGACCCCAGCCTGGTGACACTGTTGCAGGGTGTGGACAGCAACCTCACCCCTGAGGCCTTGGGCCTTGTGTACTCAGATGCCGTGATGCAGGCGCCCTCACTGCCTCTTACTGCCCTCCTGAGCCAACGATTCCACAATGGCCTTGCCCCAGATCAGTTCCTCTCCCTTCAAGCCACAGTCAGGTCGAAGCTTTTTCCAAAAGATGAGTGCTACAGAAAGAACTCAGTGGAAATGTTCTGCTGTTATTTATTTATCTTTTGGTCTTTTTTTGAGACAGAGTCTTGCTATGCAGTTCAGGCTGGCCTTGAGCTCACTTTGTAGCCCAGGCTGGTCTCGAACTCGCAACAATCCTCCTTCCTCAGCCTCCCAAGTGCTGGGATTACAGGTGTGACCCACCACACCTGGCTGGTTCCGCTGTTATTTAAACACATGACGAAGGAGAAATATTTTACTTTGTCGAAAGTTAGTAGGGGCACATTTAACTTCTGGGAATGAAATACAAGTAGGGAGCAGAGCACCCCTTTCTCTGCCTTGCAGGTTCTGAGGCTGTGCATCCCCTGCTGGGGTTGCCCCAGAAGAGGTCCTGCTGCTTTAGGGACCCCAGGGACTGTGTGGCCTGTGACATGGTCGCTCCAGGACCCCGCAGGAAGGGGCCTGGTTTGTGCCTCCCTGGGCTGCCGTGTTCATCTTCTAGGCCCTGCAGGATGTGCCCATGTGCCCACCTGCACCCGTGTGTTCTAGAAACATCTCAGGGTCTTAGCCCCTTCCGGCTCCTGCCTTCCCCCTTAACCAGTTTCAGGTAAAATCTGCATGTCTTCTGGATTTCTTGGAAATTTATTTTTTTAAACCACAGTTTGGCTTTAGCCGTGAAGATGATAAGAGGTAGGTTTTGGGAATCGGAAAGGTCTGGGTCAGAACCAAGGAACACAACCCAGGTTGCCTGGATTTTGCCCAGGGGCCCACGGGATGCACCTATGAACCGAGAGAAACCAAAATAATCCTGCCCCTGCTCGTTTTGACATCACCCAGTTCAGAGGCTGCCAGCTGAGCAACACACTGAGTCACTGTCTTCACTGCGGGAACAAAGGCCTGAGGCCCACAGAGGAGGAGAGGTTTACTTGGTTTGGTGTTTTCAGGCCATCATCGTAGGCCCCCTAGGCAGAAAGGCATGCTGCGGGCTGTTGGCTGGAGGAGTGCAGCTCGCAACACGGCGCAAAGAAAGCAGCATGGGGCGGGGCTGTGACCTTCCAGGTCCCGCCCCCTTGACGCTCTCCCCAAGCTCCGCCCCTGTGACGCGTCTCCCACAGGCTCCGCCCCCGTGGCGCTCTGCTGGCCAGGCCCTGCCTCGGAACAGCAAGTGCCACCGTAGTTTGCTCTGGCCTTGCTGCCCAAGCCACTCTGATGTGACCCTGAGGATTGCCCTGGGTCCTTTTTATCAGGGACTCAAAGGCCATATGTCACAAGCATTCTTTTTACTGGGGCTACGCATGGGCCTTTTGGTATCAGGTGGCTCTAGCCTCCACCCTCAGGCCGTGTCACCTTGCGTTTTTGTACACATGTCTCGGGAAGAGCTTGAGGTCTGATCACGCATTTGCAGACTCCTGGTGACTTCGCCCCGACTCGTCCCCAAGCACCCTGCTTCCTCTTTGTCCTTGGGAGGTGGATTGGGGCTGGGGCTCCCCTCTAGGACACTGCCTTGGGAAGGAGCTCTTCCCCCAAGTGCTGGGTCTTAGCCATTGGCATGGTGTGCTGCAGGGTTGGCAAGCAGGAGCTGCCCTCAAGGAGGACAGTGACCTGCACCTCGGTGGGGCTCGGGCGAAAACCCACGCACTCCTTGGAGTCCTGTGAGGATTTCAGTCTGATCTGAACTCAGCACTTGGTGCTTATTTTGGGGGCCCATTGTTTTCTTTTGAGCCAGGGTTGAGGGCGAGGGCCTGGGGGTCAGGCGTCCTGGGTTGTGAGCTCTGGTCCTTTTACACCTAACCCCAAGTCAGGCCCCGTGTCTCTCCCACCTGGAGATCCCACAGCGCCCTTTGAAACGAGGACCCTGGCATGCACCCCATCTCCGTGACCCTGCACTGGTGCAGTGGGTGCTTGAGGACCACGCGTCCTTGTAGTCACTCACTGCTTCCCTCTTTCAGGCGCGTTCTTCACAAAAGTGGTGGCCGTGGGCAACGTGGCTCTGAAGCTTGAGATCTGGGACACAGCTGGCCAGGAGAAGTACCATAGCGTGTGCCACCTCTACTTCCGGGGTGCCCAAGTGGCGATGCTGGTGTACGACGTCACCAGGAAGGTGGGGCTAGGCCTGGCGTGTGCCCTCGACTGGCTCAGGCATGGGAGCTGCCACTAAAGGGGTCACAGCTGTGCCAGCGCCTTAATCTGTGGTGTGGTCTTCCAGGCCCAGTGGAGCCCCTCTCCTGGTCCATGGGGACTGCAGTTAGGAGCTGGGCTAGGGGTGTCAGCTGTTGTCCTGCACCCTCGGCACAAAATGGTCCTTGGGGGCTGCACAGCTTGGCACCTGGCTGCACAGCCGTGTGGAAGGGGACCCCAGCACCTCCTTGGTGACAGCACTGCGGGGGTGGTGGTTGTTGACCTGGCTTTTCCCGGGGCATTTCCCATAAGCGTTATCCGACGCAGTGTCCCTGGAGTGGGGACAAGGCCATCGTGAGGTGCAGTGGCGTCTTGCTGTCCTCAGGAGTCCTTCCTCAGGGCCCAGCAGTGGCTTGAGGACCTGGAGAAGGAGCTGCAGCCCGGAGAGATCGTGGTGGCACTGGTGGGCAATAAGACGGACCTGGAGGAGAAGCGGCAGGTGACTCTGCAGGTGCCTTAGGCCAGGGAGGGCGAGTCCTTGTCAGAATGGGGGAGTGGGGACCTTGGACCTCACACTCACACCTGCACACACACGTACATCCTCACATGGCTGCACATACTTGCTTACACCTGCACACACACATGCACACACACTTGCATGCACAAACCTGCCGGCACACATGCTCACACACGTACACATACCCTCAACCCCATCCCCTCACATGCACGCTCACTGCTGACCAGCTAACCTGCTCACACCCAGTCACACTGCACACACCTGCACACACTCACTTGCACACACACAAGTGTATGCCCACGCATGCAGGGAAGGCCCCCCTTCCAAGGTCTGGGCCAGTTGCCTGGACCCCAGGGTGTGAGGAAGGCACCGCCCTGCCTCTCCTTCCCGATGGGCACTGCGGGCTCTCAGGTCCCCTCTGCTCAGTGAGTCATGTGGGCAGCAGGGCAACTTAAACACACTGCAGTTCTGTCCAATGCCCGAGGGTGGCACCAGGCTGGCCTGCCGCTTGGGAGGCTCAGTGAGGCCCCCAGGGAGCATCCATGTCGCATCCGGGTCACACGCTGCCCTGGGGCTCCCCTGGGTCCCACAGATCCCAGGTTACCACCCTGCTGCTCCCACCTGAGCCCCCATGAAACAGGGCAGCTCCCATCTTGGGCAGCAGTGAGGCCTAGCCGTGCATTGCGACTTTGAACTTGTGCTTTCCAATAATCTCATCTCAGTAAAGATACCCAAAGAGCACAAAGAGTGCCCGTGTCCCGCCTGCAGTGTCCCATAGGACCAGGGTGGTGACCGAAGCCAGGACTCAGCTGCAGCTCGTACCCAAGCTTCACTGATTTTCCCATCCATGTCCTTTCCCTGCCTCTGGCTTTGGCCCTGAGAGCCAGCCATCCACTCTGATGTCTTTTTCACCTGCCCTGCCCTCTGTCCCTCCCTGGCTCACATTGTTCTTCCAGCCCTGGAAGCAGCCAGGTCTCCAGAGGTTGTATTTCTGATTCCTGGAGAATTAATTTAGGAACCAGTGCCTGCACACTGAGGTGCTCCCTGCTGCAGGGGTGAGGCAGCTGCCTACCCCACCCTGAGAATCTCCGTGCCCACCACTCTCCTCGCCTGGCCCCGGTGTCTGTGTCAACTCCAGCCTTCTTACATGGCTTCTCAACCAGGTCGCCAAACAGCCCCCTCCCTGGACCACACTGGTGACGAGGATGCAGCCTGGGTTCTGCTCCCCCCTCCCACCCATCCATTACACCTGCCACTCCAATGAGCCCACCACCCACACTCACAGTGAACCTTGTCAATCCCTTGGTCAAGGTGCCCCCGGAGATTCTCAGGTTGGGGTAGGTGCACCCCCACAGCTGCAGGTCATGGCTGAGTTTGGTCACATGATTGGGGCCTCTGGGGGTGCCTAGAACTGCTCTCTGCTGGGAGCCAGGGGACCTGGGGGTTCGTACCAAGGGCCCCCTTCCTTGGGAGCCTTGGATTCCTGAGTGTGGACGTGGCCCATGGCTGCCCCCTCTTTCCTGGCTATGTGGCTTTTGCTGGGTGTGTCCCCAGAAGGGCCTGGCAGCAGGAGGAGCTGGACATGGAAGCTGCCCTCATCATCATCCAGATCCTCTGCCTCAGAGTGCCTGGTCCCCGCCTGCTGTCCCCTCAATGGCCTGGTCCTGGTCCTGAAGGTCAAGATCCTGACTGCTTTCTGCTGGCTGTGACTACTCTTTGGTTCCTTTTGTTAGAGGCCATCAGGGCGCCCTTAGGACACTCACAAAAATGCTGGCTTTTTCCCCAGGAGGGGAAGGAGTTCGCTGAGAGCAGAGGGCTGCTGTTCATGGAGACCTCAGCCAGACTGAATCACCAGGTGTCGGAGATCTTCAGTGCCGTGGGTGAGTGACCATGCATGGCCACGAACAGGGCAGGGGTTTGGGGACCCAGTGGGTGGCCCCTGAGGGCGGACATGGAGCTATGAGACAGGGCTCTGGATGGTGCCAGCACATCCATCCTCTGCCCACCTGAAACCTCTGCCTCCCCAGCCCAGGAGCTGCTGCAGAGAGACATGGCCAGGCTGGGCTCCAGCCCACTTGGCAACTCTGGAGCCATGCGACTGAACCAGGCACCCACCAGGCGGACCAAGTGCTGCAGTCACTAGGAGCAGCCACTGCAGTGGGGCTGCAGGACCACGTGGGTGGCTGGGCTGTGTCTTCAGGATACAACCCTGCTGGCCTCTCTGTGGTCACTCGGCCAGGTGCTGTGTTGTACCTGAGCCCTGGAGATTTCTAGAAGGTGGTGTCCCTGCAAAACTGCACCCCAAACCTGTGAGGACTGTCAGCCGTCAAGAGGCTCCTGGATTCCCGATGCCCCAGTCAGGCCTGTGCACCCTGCCTGGGTTGTCACCCTGTATGTGGCCTTGCCACCAACACAGAGGAAAACTGACTGCTGTGGTGCTGGATGGGTGCCTCCACCTGCTGGGCAGTGGGAGGGGATAGGACAGGCCCAGAGGAGGTGTCCAAGCCCGGAAAAGTGGGGTGAAAGGGGTGGCCACCCTCAGTGTGCAGCCGCCCTGCCTCCCGTCTCTGTGCCCAGGGTCTAGGCAGCCCTGTTTCTGACCAGGGAGCATGAGGACTCTGAGACAGCACCCTGAGACACAGGCTGGACCATGGAGGCAGCCTTTTCTCTAAAAATTAAACTGCTTTTGGCAACTCAGCTGTGGTCATTTCACGAGGTTAGATGGGCAGTGCCTGGCAGGCCATCTTCTTGGAGGCCTTTCTTTTTGTTTGTTTGTTTGATTTTGGTTTTTTGAGACAAGGTCTTGCTATGTAGCCCAGACCGGCCTTGAGCTCATAGGGATCTTTCTGGTTTAGCCTCCTCAGCGCTAGGATTGCAGGTGTGTTCGACCATGCCCAGCTAGGTGTAGTTTCTCACAGTTACTGAAGTTAGTGTACCTGCCATGAATCCAGGGCAGGTGAAGCCATAGTGTGCATGCCCTGGGGTTCCATCTTTATCCTCCCTCCATCCTGAGGCTGGGGGCACTTACACCTTAGAGAAGGAACCAGAGCTACCTGGAAGGCATCGGGAGGCCGGGGCTGCCCATGGCCACTAGATGGCACCCCAACACCTCCAAGGCTCTTCACACCTGGCCCCCTTCTTGCTCAGGAAGAGTCCTGTGGAAGAAGAGGGGGCATTTGTAGCATGTCCATCTGTGGGTATTCCTGGCGTTTTAATTTTAAAAATTTATTTATTTATTTTGAGACAGGACCTTGGTACCCACAGGCCTTGAACTTGGAGCAATCTTCCTGCCTTGGCCTCCCAGGTGCTGGGATTACAGGTGCACACCACTATGCCTGGCTCAGTTCCTCTTTTTAAAAAGTGTATTCCTGTTTTAGGATTCCTCTGGCCAAATTAGATCACTGTGAGCATCAAGAGTTATTTGTAAGATAAATGAATGATGACAGCAACAAAAGGAGACCTGGTCCTGGGATGAATCCTGTGGGGAAATGTGGGACCCACGAGGTCCTATGGGTCCCCGGGACTGTATCATTGCACAGGGGCTGATCTGGGCTTGTGAGCGCTGGGAAATGGGAAGCTGCTGCAGGGCCAGGGGCTGTGGCCTGCATGTGGGTGGCCCAGGTGGCCCCGTGGACGGGAGGGCGGTCGGTTGGCCACTTGGGCACAGAGTGGAGTGGGGGCTCCTCAGGAAGGAGACAGGCTGGGGACACAGCTGGTCCTGCACCAGGGTGGACACTGGGCATGTCACATGGACACCTCAAAGAGTCGGTGTCATGAAAAAAGGCAAAAAAAAAAAAAAAATCAGGCTGAGGATCAAGCAAAAGTAACCGTGCGTTTGAGTGGAGCCAGCTAGACGAAGGTCTTAGGAATTCCTCGATACACATGGGGATGTGGGAGTGGGGGTAACTTCTTGGTGATATGAAACCTCTACAATTTTCTCAGTCTGGTTTTGTGGTTATGCAGAAGAGTTGCATTTTGGGGAGCAGTGGTACTAGGGATCGCACCCAGGGCCCTCACACTGTGCTACATCTTCATATATGATTTTGAGACAGGTACTCATTTAATCCTTGTATTGTCCAGGCTCAAATTTGTGATCCTCCTGCCTCAGCCTCCAGAGTGTTGGGATTATGTCATGCACCACCACGTCCAGCTATTACAATTATTGTTCAGATTGTTCTGTGTGTTTGAAAATTGTTATTATAGAAAGTTGTAGGAAATACAAATCCCTCTGGACAGACGGCAGAACTTTGTTTCCTGGGGTTGCCCTCATGAAGTGCCACAAGCTGGCTGTCCTAGCAGTAGACACAGGTGGCTTCACGCTTGGGTGGTGTGGTAGAGCCATCCCAAGGCTGTGGGGAGACCTGTCCCAGCCTAGGACCTGGAACCATCCCCAGGAAAGCCGGACACTGAGTCCCGATGCCTCTTGTGGCCCTGAGGGAGGGGTCTCAGCGTGATTGGCATTGGAACCCGCTAGATGATTGGTGGAGCCATCTCTGGGCATGTCCAGCAGGCCATGCAGGCATGGCCTTGGAGCTGGGTCGGGTCCTTGAGCCAAGCAGCTTTGTGGGATTCTGGGAGGAAGGCTGGAGATCTAGGACAAGGCTCAGTCCTCCTAAGCCCACGGCTATGGCTGGATCTGAGGCATCAGGTAACCAAGGAAATGGCTGGGGAAGAGATAGGGGCGCCTTCAAGCTGCTTGCTGGGGGTCTGAAAACCAGGACGCCAAGCTCTCTGCCCCATGGGAAGGGAGAGCATGGAATTTAGTACGGGTGCGGTGAGTCCTGCGCATGCGCCCGTGGTCTCTGTGGTCCTCGGCCACCCCAGTCCTCATCACTGTGTTGCTGCCTACGCAGAGTTGAGCCTGTGGCTCCGGACCCTGGGACCAAAACCCCACTGCCTGGAGGAGGGGCTGACTCAAAGCTCAGACCAAACCCTCAGTCCCGTCTCAAAACCTGGGCCTTAAAACCCTCAGCACCCAGTGCTGTGGGCCGTGAGCTCTTCCCTGGCCACCTCTCATCCTGTACAGTAGATTTTGTCTTTTCTCTTTTGAATAAATTGTGGCTCCTCTGCAATGCTTCGGTGTGCAATGCAAGTCTGTGTTTCCCCAAGGACCTGGACAAGACCCAACCCGGTAACAGCCTGCCATGTTGTTCCAGCCAGCCATAGACTGAATCCCCTGCAACCCTGAGCCGGCTAGCCCTCTCCTGCTGTGTGTTGTGGTGAAGGGTGCAGTGTCCTAGGGTCACAGGAGCTGACCAGGATACCTCCTCTGGGCGAGGGGTCCCCAGAGTCCCTTGAGTGCTAAAAAAAACCTTCAGTCACTGTCCCCAAAGGACAAAAGTGGGGGCTTCATTTGGGTGGAGGTCACAGGCCCTCCTGTCCCTGGCTTTTTGACCCCTTAGTCCTAGCACAGTGGTCCCCAGCCATCTGTCCTGGACCCTATGCAGATGGACCAACCCTACCCTCTCCCCACACACAGTGTGTCAGCCTCAGAGTCCTAGTCACACCCTGCGGTCACCTACCATGGTTCCATTGCTGTGCCCCTCTGGCTGGGTCTTTCTTCTGTGTGTCGATGCAATACAATGGCTTTTAGTACGTTTACCACATTCTTCAGCCCCAGGCATTTTCAGCTCCCTGGGAGGAAGCCCCGTTAGTCAGCCACTCCCCAGCCTCTGGCAGCCCCAATCTACTCTTGCCTCTGTGAAACTGTGTATTCTGGATATGTCTTGCATGTGGAATCCTACAGTGTGTGGCCTTGTGTGTCTGGCTTCCTTCCCTCTGCACCGTGTTTTCAAGGCTCATCTGGCTGCAGCCAGTATCAAGTTCTCCTCTCTTTTCGTGGCTGAATAATATTCCACTGTGTGACCACCCATTTATTGCAGAGGGATGTTGTGGAATAGTTATGTCCCCTCCTGAATCAGGTTGAATTCCTCAACCCCCTGTCACAGGCAGGGCCTTGGGAAGAGCCAAGGCTGTGAGGAGGGAGGCTTCCTGGACAGGACTGGTACCCTTCTTAGAGGAGATCTCTCCGCCAGCTGGGACCCGGGAAGAGGCAGCTGCCTGTCAGCTGGGCCACAGCTCTCACCCTGTTGCTCCCAGAATCTGGACGTCCAGCCCCCCAAACCCTGAGAATTAAGCACTTGCTCCAGCACCTGAAGTGCGTGGGCGTGGGGGGCACTGGCTTGGCACCTGTTTGTGTCCTGTGGGTGGGCACTGTAGGGCCTGGGCTCAGTGGTCACCTTGTGGGGCTCCAAGGTGGTTCCTGGGCCTAACCTGCTTGGGGCCAAAGCTGCCTGTTGCCTGTGGCAGGAGCAGACCTGAGCGAGGCTGGGCAGTGTGGCACCCTAGGCTTTGTGCTGTGTGCAGCCTGGCGGCTGCTGGGAACACCAGGGGTCAACACAATGTCCTTGGAAGCCAGTGACCAAGGTGGTCCCAGACTCCTACTCAACCTGAGAAGCCTCTTCTTTCCAAAGAGGCTGCCGGGCACTGAGCTTCCTCCCAGGCTGACCACCCAGGAGGGGAAACACCTTTCAGTGTGTCACCACGCAGTCACAGATGGGCATGGAGAAGGCCAGGCTTTTATTAGGACACAGCAAAGGCAGCTGCGGGAGGCAGGGCTCCTGAGTTCTCATCTGCATCATCTCACCCGGTGCCCATCCTGGGGGGCCTCAGGGCCACCCAGCACCCTGCGGCAGGTTAGCGGGCATTGTGGGCTGGACCTGGGCCCCTCTGGCAGGGCTGCCCCCCTCCGGCCAAAGCGGCCCACAGGCCGGATGCCTCGTCCTGCGTACCAGGCAGGATTGATGTCTGGGGCTGGAAAGAAAGAACCGGTAGCAGGTGGGAGCCCATCACCATCCCCATGGACCCTCTGTGTCAGGGCAGCGCTGTGGCTTTGGGACCTGGATTCAGATGTTACCCGGAGCAGGGTCCCCTCTGGCTCCCACCCTGGGTTCTCCAGGGGTCAGGCAGGCTGAACAGGGGCACAGGGGCAGTGTGGGGTCAGGTCACTCTGGGGCAAGGCCCATCCAGCAGGGCCCTCAGCAGGCATCAGTGCCCGGGCTGGGGCTCCCGGCCAGGCTGGGCAGGGCGGTGTCGGGCACGGTGGGCACTTACCTCGGACCTCCATGGAGTGCTGCCGGGCTCGGCTGGCAGCCGTCCGCAGGCCCAGGACCAACAGCAGCAGGCAGAACAGCCAGGCCCTTGGGGCTGCCATGGTGGCTTTGTGGTGGACCCAGGTGGGGAGGTCACAGCCTGGGACACAGAAGGAGGAGCGAATGACACATGAGTATGTGTGCACATGTGCATGCGTTATAGTAAAAGGCATGTTGTCACAATTCCCCTCAAATCCTCTCCGTGGATTCCAACACACTCGTCCCCTCACCCTGGCCACTTCTGCAGCAGCTCTGGACTCTTTTTTTCTGAGGGTCTTTAGCTGCACAGTCCTGGCTGCCTCACTGTCCTGAATGGATTTGAAACCTTCCCTTTCCATGGTCATTGTGACCATGAAGCTGCAGGTGCTGGACCTGGTGACAGAGATGGTAGAGGACACAGCGCCCTGCTTTTGAGCTCCTGCCTTTCCGCTGGGTGGCGCTTGCAGGGGCATTGCTGTCTTTATTGTACCTGAGAGTTACTCACAGGAGGGCTCCAGAGGAGCTTCAGATGGGGTGAGAGACACGGTGTCTGTCATTCAGAGAATTTTGAGGAGATTAATAGCAATACGTCTGTCACTGTAATAAGTTCTTAAGGATTTAAATGCTGTCCCTTTGGACCACACATCATATGTGAGCTCTGTGTGTGCACAGCACATGGAGCATGCGTCCCAGTGTGTCCCGCAATCTGTAATCTCCCTGTCCTGTGTCAAGGACACTGAGGCTGCTCCTGTAGTCCTAGGAGCCTGGAGACGGCAGAGGTCCCTCCTGGCATGGCTTTGAAGGTGCCATGCATGAGGCTCCGAGCAAGTCCTTTTCCCTAGGGAACACCCCACGGGCCCCAGGACTCTCCTCCCAGGGTGGACACCCCACAGCTGATGGGAGCAGGTCCCCAGGAGCCTTTGCCTTGGTGGAGTGGAGGAGCTGAACCAAGGGCCAACATTGCACCTGCTGTGAGGACCCCTCTTTCCCGCCTCCAGCATTGCAGGTGCTCCCTGCAGTAGCCTGGGGTCCCGTCTGGTTCCCATGTGACACCCCACCCCTCAGCTGACTGACTTTCATGCCCCTCCTTGAACCTCACAGGAAGGCTGACCACCTGAGATGTTTAAAATCTTCCCCCTTTTTAGAACCCTGCTGGGGGTCCCCCAAGGGGCAGGGATGTCCCACTATAGGAGATGGGGGTTCCAGCTTGGAGAAGAATAAAGACAGGCGCTGAGTGGGCCGACCCTTCGGGGGTCCCTGCAGGGATGGTCTCAGCCAAGTGCAGGGCACCGAGGATGTCAGCATGGACCCAGGGCCTGTTTCCCCTACAGCCGGAGCCTGGCCGTCCCCCCAGGGCTCACCTGGCCCTGCTCTGGAGGAGCTCAGTAGGGCCTCTTGCCTGCATCCGCAATGGACAGTGCTGAGGGCAGAGACCCAGGTGCTGCCTGCGGCAGTGGCTGCCTCCGCTCACCCTGCTTGGGGCCAGCCCCAGCAGTGTAGAGGGTGGGGAGTGTCTCAGGTGACCCCAACCCCGATGAAGGGGACCCTGCTGGCCCTTGCCCCTCACTATTTCGAGACTTACCGATCTTCCTGGGGAGGTGGTGGTGCTGTCCAGGTGCAGTGAAGCCCAGGCAGGAGCCTGTGCCCCTTTATAGCTCCCTAGGGACACAGCTGACACCCTGGCTGCCCCCCTCTCCCTAAGGAGGCAGTGATGGCCTTTTGTTTCTTTTCTCTTTCTTACATCTTTTTTTAAAATAAGCAATGTGAGCAGTGTGACTTGTCCCTTCCTGGATTATGTAATTTCATTTGGACCAAGTGCTTTAAAACGCATTAACCTCCCCTCTGCTCGCCTTCGGGCAGACTCTGGAGCCTAGCGTCTGAGTTCTCGCTCGGAAGCTGCTCTGCACTGTGGCCGCCTCCCCTCCCTGGTTTCAGCCAGGGTGGGGAGGACTCGCCCATGCCACTGCCACCTCCCCCAGGCCATCACCCTAGACCACTCTCGCCCTCACTATGCAGCTGAGAAGACCGAGCTTGGCTTTTATGATCTCCGTAACCATGCAAGCCAATCACTGTTTAAGAAACAGGTTTGTTTCTGTGATAGCAGCAGTTCGCATAGATCAGGGAATCTCAGTGCACATGATACCAAAGAAGCAGCAGCATGGGCACCATGGCAAGCGCTGACCACAGCGTTTGTGCTGCTTTAAACAACAGCTCGACATGTACTATTTAACCAGGTCTAAGAACCCACGTGGCCCCCATTTGAAGACAGGCAGGTTACATCGAGGGACATCAGAGCATAGTGTAATTCCATCTTCTTGAGGGAGCTGAGCCTCCTGGATGTGTCTCCTGGGGCCCGAGAGGTCTGGGAACAGTGTCAGGGTCACCCAGTGTCCCAGTGCAGTCATGTGATGAATCCTTTCCCAGGCACAGAAGTCTGTTCCCATTCCTGCTCCTGGAGAGCACGGTGTGGCTGGAGGACAGCTGGGGTGTGGGAAGGGATCGGGGAGGAGCAGGGGAGACGGGCATCATGGGGAAGGGGACTCCCTGCATTCCGAGTGCCCAGGCTCTACCTCACAGGACTGCGTAGGAATTCCCAGCGGGCAGCTCCAGGGGCTGTGTGGGCCAATGGGCAGTGCCCACGGAGTGCCCAGCTGGGCAGCAGATGCACGAGAGCCTGGAGTTGGAGCTTTGGTCTTCGACAGTGTGTGTACATCTGTGCCCTGCAGCTGTCCACTTGTGGCGGTGACTTAGCTCGTCAGTGTGGCCCAGGCACCACCAGCTGCCCAACTTTGGTCTTCTTGGAGGAGGTGACCCTGTGGGGCTTTGGCTGCAGGCTGGGGTGGGGAGCTTGTCCCACACCTCTGTCCTGGGTGGGGGGTCATGGTCTCAGAGCGGGAAGCTGAAGGCTTGTGGTGTCTTTGCTCAGTCAGCACTTCACAAGGAGCGGGGCAGAGGAAGCAGAGATGGCCGTGCCAAGGCCAGCAGGCAGTGCCAGAGGCCAGGAGAGGCCAGGAGAGGCCAGGGGGCACCCAGGGCTCAAAAACTTTGGATGGAGACCAATCCTCCTGACATTTCAATTCTGGACCCCTGACCCTGTAGTGCAGAGAGAATAGGTCTGTGGTTCATTCTACCTGGGTGGTACAACTTTGTCCTCGAAGCTGCCGGGACCCTAGCACAGGGCTCCGGGAACATCTGAGCAGATTGACAGAGTGTCTTCTCCCAACTTTCACTCTCAAGAGATGACAGTGTCTGTGGCCTGTGTGTCCCCAGTACCTGGCAACCTTTCGGGTGCCTAGAAAGACACCATACAACAGTCGGGCCAGAGGGAGCCCTGAGAGGGGCACCTGAGCCTGGCTGCCGGGGAGGAAATCCCATAAAGCCCTTTTGAGTGAGAAAATGTAAGCTGGGTGTGGTGGTACACATGTGTAATCTCGGTACTTGAGAACCTGAGGCGGGAGGATCCTTGCAAATTCAAGACCAGCCTGGGCTACAAAGTCAGCTCAAGGCCAGCCTGAACTACATAGTGACAGTTTGTCTCAAAACAAAAACAAAAACAAAGAAAATAAATAAATAAAGAAAAGGTAAAAGCACTCATCTCTGGGAATTAACAAAGTTTATTGCTGAAGTATGAGTCATGTGCCATAGTTCAGATGGTGCCAGATGGTGTCCCTGGAGGCCTGCACCAGGGGTGGCATGCCAGGGGTGGCAGGACGTTTTTAGGGCATAGGTGTTGGCGGTGCAGTTGTTTCTGCCTGTGGGAGCTGGCAGAGCAGGTACGTGGGGCAGGTGGTTCTATAACTTGGTGCCCAGTGGGCCCTGTGTGCTGTCGCTTGGCCTGATCCCAAGTCCCTTTCATGAGCACAGCCCACAGCTGCCCTCCCAGCCCAGTGACTGACCCACCAACACCCTGTTCCATCCAGCACAGCCAGGTGCAGACCGGAAGACCACAGCGACAGAGGTCACCCTGTTCCTCCACAGCCCGAGACGGTGCCCTCCGGGATCGTCACATCAGCTCTGCTGTCTCACAGCTCAGTGCTGGGCAGGTGGCCCCCACATGCCCTCTTCTTGTTTCTGGCTGGGCAGTGATGCGCGTGGCAGAAAGTGTGGAGCCTGGGAGGACAGAGCGCTGTGGAGCAGGCACAGCGACGATTCTGGTGGCTCTGTCCTGGTCCCACGCTGCTTCTCTAGGGCTGCTGGGTCATCACGGGTTTCTGCAGGGTACAGATGCACACACGCTTGAGTGTATGGCATCCACACACAGACACTCATGAGCAACTGATGGGTCCACAGGTGAACAGAGAAACTCCCATGGCTGTGCACGGCCATGTGGATACATGGGTGTGCATTGGGTCCAGGCATGGCTGCGCTGGGAGACACACAGGTGTGCAGCAGGGGTGCACACGGCCTCAGTGAGCCGAGCAGGCACATGCACAGGTGTGCGCACACTCATGTTGCTGTGCACACAGGGAGACACAGGAATGTGCACACCGCACACAGCAGAGCATGCGTGGGGCTGCACGGTATGGCACGCTTATTTGCTCCCAGTTTTTTACGTAACCCTCTGCCTCTGTTTCCCCAGCTGTGGCCCTGGCCCCTGACGCAGGCCACTGTCATGGTGGCACACGGGTGGGAACCTAAAGCTCTGAAGTATAGGAAGGAGCCAGGCTAAGTACAGGGTGGAGATGCCCACGTTCCTGTCAGCAGCTGCTGCCTCCTGGCACCAGTCCTGGGAGAGTCCGGAGCCCTCTTCTGGGCGGTGGGGTGCAGGGGACCTCTGTCTCCATGGACTATGTCCCACATGTGTGCTCCACTTCCCTGTCATTGCAGGAATGGGGGTCCCCCATGCTGCCTGCCTTCTCCTGCTGTCCCCGAGATACACTGTCACCAAGATAAAATGGGGTTCCTGGCCATGATGATTTAGCTGCCAGAGGCCCAGCGGGAGCTGGCACACACCTATAATCCCAGCACTCGGGAGGCTGAGGCAGGAGGATCTTAAATTCAAACTCACTCAGTGAGACCCTGTGTCAAAATAAAAAAAGACTGGGGATGCAGCTAGAGCAAAGACCCTGAGTTCTATCTGCAGTACTGAGAAAAATAGAAAGGCTAGCAGGGGCACGGCCCTGGGACAGGGCCTGGGACAGGGACAGAGGCTGGCTCTGAGATCAGCTCTTGTCCTCCTCTAGCAGTGAGCAGAAGGCCTGCTCTGCCGGCTGCCAAGTGGAGGGCGAGGAGGGGGTCAGGGGCTTCTGCCCAGGTCTCAGGCCTGCAATCAGCTCTGCAACAAGGGTGCACCCCGTGTCCTCACTGGGAAGCCCCTCTCCTTCCCCAGGAGCCCAGGGTTCCTGGTTTAGACTGGCGCTAGGGTTGGATTCAGCCAGGACGCCCTGAATTTGGGACTCCGAGTGGGAGGGTGGAACTGTGTGAAGGTCCCATCTGTGCCCAGCGATGCACAGGCAAGGACACTGTGTGCCCCAGCCACAGTGTGTGGACAGCCAAGGGACAAGCCTCAGGGCTTGGGGACGCCTCTTCCCAGCATCAGACGCCCCTCAGCCCACTGAGAGGTGGTTCTGATTCCTCTTTGGGAGACAGATCTGCACAATCCCAGGGCAGCTTTCAGGGAATGCAGAAGGTGACAGCAGAGCCCGACGGCTTTGGGGAGACTGGCAGGAAGTGGGAGGGAGGTGGCTGGAGAAAGCCAGAGGTCTGCCCACCTCCCCTCACCTCGGAGCTGCTATGTAGGGATGCAGGCTCACTGCTTCCTGCCTGCCCTGTCGTGGACTGTTTCTCCTCTCTGCCACACTAGCCTGCCCTGGAGCCAGCCAACTGTGGACTGAAACCTCATAAACCATGAGCTGAAATAAACCTTTTGTCCTTTAACTTGTGGGTATCAGGTATTTTGTTCCAACAATGAGGGTCTGGATGCTGATGGAGGTGGTGGTCCCTGGGATGTCCTGGGCATCTCCATGACCTGCTGATCTGAGGTCACAGGGTCATGTTTGGGACATGCTGTGGGGTGCCTGGAACCCATGCAGAAAGCAGCTGGCACTAGGATCCTGTGCCCCTGGGGACCTGATGGCTGTGGGTGGCAGGTGGGTCACCACGATGTACTTCCTGCAGGAAGTTTTGGTGTTTGGGAGGAGCCCGGGAAACAAACCTCTCTCCAGAGTCCCGGGCAGCCTGGGATCCTGGCACCTTGTCCCCGGCCCGGCTGCAGACACCCTGTGGCCCTGGGAGAGCAGGGGTGAAGGGAGGGTGTCTTCACTGCCTCACAGACCCTCTGAGTCACTCACAGCAAGAGGGAGTCCCCTGGTGACCCCGCCTGCATCCATGTTTCTGCCTCAGTGGTCCTGACAGCGGCTGTCAGGGACGTTTTCAATTTTTTTTTTTTTTTTTTTGAGTTCAGGGATTGAACGCAAGACCTTGAGCTTGCCAGGCAGACACTTACTCCACTGAGCTAAATCCCCCGCCCCAGTTTTCCTTTTGTAGATTTTGCTTCTGGCTTCCATCCTCTGGCTTTTCGCCTCTTCTGTTTAACCCAGTTTCCTGTACAATGAAGACTTAACAACAGTTTGTAAGAGCTGCAGGGGACAGAACTCTAAAGGCTCCTGAGAAAGTGCAATGAGAAGTCATCAGAGCTGGGTGTGGTGCACATGCCTGTCATCCCAGCACTCAGGAGGCTGAGGCAGGAGGATCTCCTTGAGTTAAAAACCAGCCTGGGCTACATAATGAGTTTGAGATCAGCTTGAACTACATAGCTTGACCCTGTCTCAAAAAAACAACTAACTATACAGCCAAGCAACTAAACAAACAAGAGTTACCGCAAAGATGTGGCGGGCCATGCCCCTCCTGCCGTTGGGGCTCCTCTGCGTCAGGGACCCGCGGTACACTGACTTCCTTTCAAAGGGCTCCTGGTCTTTGCCTTTGGAAACAAAAGAGGGAGGAGTTTTGCCCTTCGTAAGCCTACCCCAAGCAGGTGCCTCGGTGATCTAAGACCCCTGGAGAAACCCCTGGAGAGACCTCTTGCAGGGGAGGGACTGCTGCAGGGTGCTATGGTCACACAGCACGGTTTTGGTGCCATGGCTACATTGCGCACCATTGGTCCAGAGCCTGCGCCCCCTGCCCTGTGGCTTTGGGGCAGTGTCCTCAAGGCCCAGGAGGCCTCCCTAGGCATGACACCGTGGGGTCTGCACCTGGCTTTGCTTTAGATTTGGGTGGCACAGTGAGTATGGGGGCTGGGCCCTGCCTGCACTGGGTGGAGAGAGCTCCAGGGAGCAAGGCTTGCTGTGGTCCTGGGTGGGGACACACAGGACCTTTTCCTTTCTCCCCTCCTGCTCCTGCCTGTCTCTTCCCCGGCATCCCCTTGGCTCACTGTCCCCATGCTGTCTCTTTCCAGAAGGGACCTCCTGGCCTGGCGCGGTGGCCCTGACATCCATGTCGGCCCAAGAGCATCTTGACACGGGTTCATGATACCAAGGAGGAGACAAGTGGCCCTGCAGAGGAGCTGCAGACCAGTGACCTGCATGCAGGCAGGGGACAGCAGTGGGAGGGAGCCCGGATGCCAGTCCTGATGGCTACAGGCCTGGGGCTGGTCTTGCTCAGCTCTGGACTGGATGTGGTCTCCCTCAGAGGTTGGCAGTGCCACTCCAGGTGCCCCAGGAGTGCTTCTCTGCCCACATTGCCCAGCTTGTGGCCCAGAGTCACTGGCCTCGGGCACAGGGTGGCCCCAGGGTGAAGCTGGGCTAGGACACACAGGGAGCCAGGTGGGTGATGGCCATGGGGCCGGGGTTACGGGACAAAACTGCCACCTTATCACCAGCTGGACTTGAGGACTAAAGGATCCAGGGACCAGAGCTGTGAGCAGGAGTGCAATTTATAACGCACAGTGTGGAATGCAGGAGCTCCCTCACCCAGAACAATTTTAATGTCCAGGGGGCGCAGGCTCTGGACCAATTAATTTTAATGTCAGGTTCCAGCTGTGCAGAGGCCCCCACACCAGCCCCGAGGAGCCCAGAGCAGCACTGGGGTGTTCTCTTTTTATTTTGTTCTCTGAGACAGGACCTCACTATGCAGTTCAGACTGGCCCTGAACTCGTGTTGATCCTCCTGCCTCAGCCTCCCAAGAGCTGGGATTACCATGTTGAGCGGGGCCTTCTTTAGAGTCTGGGCAGAAGGTGGGTCCCGGGGAGTACAGGAGCCTCTGTAACCTTGCAGGGCCAGGGTCCCACCACCTCCATCCCAAGTGACTCCCAGGCCCCCCCGGGGGGTGGGGCAGGGCTCTTACCAGCCTGAGGGGAGTACTTTCTCCTGAGAAGACAGGGCATGGCTGCCGCCTGGGGGAGAGAGAACCTCCAGAGCATCAAACTGGTCAGAAACACTGTGGCTTAGTTCAGCCTCCTTCTCTTCTTTTCTTCTTTTGCAGCACTGGGGACTGAACCCAGGGCCTTTGCACTGAGCTACGTTCCCAGCTCCTATTTATCTTTTGGAGACATAGTCTCTCTAAATTGCACAGCTGGGCTAGAACTTGTAATCCTCCTGCCTCAGCCCCCCAGAGTACTGGGATTCAATAGGCAGGCACTGCTATGGCTGACTGGGGCTTCTTATTGTTGGGATTCTAATGGACCAGGTGTCCTCCATTGTCTGGAACATGTGATTTTAATGTCAGTGTGTGCTTTCTGTGCATTAAGTGCCATGTGCCTGAATTTGAGAGGTGGTTGGTATGCAGCAGTGGCCTGGGGTGGGCTGCAGGGTGAACAGAGCATGGTCAGCCCCAGGGATCTGAGCTAAGACCTCAGTGTCCGCCCCGTGTATGGTAATATGGACTCATTCTGCACAAGCCTCAGTCTGCCCCTCTGTGTGATGGGGTCGTGGGATGCTTCTGATGCTCTGTGTCTGCTTGTCACCATCCCCTCCATGCCTCCTTTCTAGTGGTGAACTCTCTACAACATGACGAGAGAGTAATTCTCAGCCAGGCACACTGGTGCATGTGTCATCCCAGCACTCTGGGCTGAGGCAGGGGGACCAAAAGATCCAGCCTAGCCTGGGGAACTTGGCGACTTGGTGAGACCCTGTTTCAAGATGAAAGATGAAAGAAAGCAGGGGACACAGCTCAGTGTGCAGGGCCTGGGCTCAGTCCAAAGCGCTGAGAAACAAGTGTATTCTCTGTCTTCAGAAGTGGCAAAGGCCAAGGGGCCCCTATTGCCTAGATCAGTGCCCCACATCCGCCTCGGCATTTCCCTTCTGCTCTGTGAGTGGCCCCTGCAGGTGGTTTCCTGGAGCCCACAGAACACATGGCCCAGAGGAGCGGGTGGGATGTCAGGGCTGCAGGCCTGGCTGGGTCCCTGCTGTAATGCTCTACAGGACAATGGTCTCTTTTACCCGGGCAGCGGAGGGCGTGAGGCAGCCCTGGGGCTGAGGGCATCATGGGACGCAGCTGTGTGGGTGTGGGGCTCACAGGCGCATGAGACCCACTCTTCTCAGTGCGAGGACTGGTGCCCCCAATCCTGCTCCTAACCTCCTGACACAGGACACCTCTCAGCTTCTCCTTCCCCACCTGTGTCCCACATGCCCTGGGCTGTTTTCCTGCACACTGGCTCCCAGGTATTTTCACTATCAACAGCCAGTCCTGTGCCCCCCGGGCAGAGCAGTGTCTCTAGGCTACAGGCAGGCGTGGACATGCCCAGTGAACACAGTCTGTCCTCATGCTGACAGGCAGGATGAAGACTGTGGAGCCTTCGCTTGTTACCCTGCTTGGTTGGGGGGCTAGATGAGGGTGGGGTGGGTGGAACACACTTCTGGGTGTGCCTGGGGGGTCACGGCCGTGTGATTTGGGGTCCATGTCTGGCCCCTGCCCACCTTCCTTCCTGGCACTGCTCCCCTGCCCTGCTTCCTGAGCCATGAGCTAAGCAGCTTTTTTTCTCCACCATGATTTCCTGTCCTGGGGCAACTGGCCACGACTGAACCCCTGAGCCCGTGAGCCTCATCAACCCCCTCCTTTAAGTTGCAGGTATCAGGCAGTTTGGCCCAGTGAGGGGGAAGCTGGCCCACACAGAGGAGCCTGCCACCTTGTCCCTGGGTGAGTTCACTCCAGGGTGTGAGCCTGCTGTCTTCAGTCAGTGTTCCTCACCAGACAGAGCCAAAGGGTTCCTTTCCTCTGGTGTCCCCTCCTCCACTCTCTTACAGAATTTTCCTCCATTTCCCCCAACAGACACTTTGACCTGAGCCCTCCAGTGTGTACCTCTGAGGTCGCCCTGCTCTGGCTGTCCGGGGCAGTGGCCAGGGAGATGACACATACCTCGTCTGCCTTCTGGTCCTCTGGACGCTGGCCAAGGGTGCCCGCCACCCGAGGCAGGAAGACCTGGAAGACAGAGGAGGCGCTGGTGCTGCGGCCCTGCTGAGCTGGAAGGCATCGGCAAGAGCTGGGGTGGGCTGGCTGCACGTGGGACGGGCTAGCGCCCTGGGGTAGAGAGGTATGGTGGCACACCTCTATAACCTCAGCACTCCGGGAGGCTGAGGCAGGAGGACGGAGATTTGAAGCCTAGCCTGGGTAGTTTAGTGACTTCACCAAGACCCTGTCTTCCCAAAAAACAAAAACAAACAAAAAACCAAAAGAAACAAAGATGGCTCAGATGTAGCTCATCGAGGAGGCCCTGGATTCAATTTCCAGTACCAGCAGCTCAAAGAATGCTGGAGTAACAGCCCCCAAACACCTGGTCCTGGGGCCAGGGCTGTGAGCTTAGCAAATTACAAAATGGTATGCCATTCTGGGGGTGGTGCAAGCCTGCAATCTTAGCACTCGGGAGGCTGAAGCAGGAGGAGCACTGAGTTTGAGGTCAGCCTGGATGGTATGTGGAGACCCACCTCACAGAAATAAAAAGGAAGGGGAAGCCCAGGTAATGCTCCATTTTAGAGAACTGATGACAGTATTTTACTGGAATCACGTCCTCTAAGTGGCACGGGGTGCCCTGTACTGGAGCCTGCCAGTCATTCATCTGAAATGCAGTGCTCACTGCATTTCCCTGGCAACCACTGCGGAGCTCTACCAGAGCAGGCCCTGTCGAGGGTCCACCGGGAGGCTGCGGCCCTGACACGGCCTCTTGCCGCTTTGCAGTTTAGGCCGTGTTTCCGGTTTTTGGGTCAGACCCAAGATCTGGGGAGGGTTGGGGTGCAGACTTCTGGGGTGCCGGGGTGTCCCACTCACCGGGAGGTTTGACTTCCTCCGGGGCTTTGTCGAGGGCTTCACCGTGAGCCCCGCAGCCCTGAGTGCTGCGATCCTGGACTCGATGTCAGAAACCTGGAGAGTGGGGGACAGTGGGTGGTCAGACAGACACCACCCCGATGTCCCGTCCCGGGCAGCCGCCTTGGCTTCTCATGGAGCCTGTTTGGCTGCTGCTTCCCCTCGAGACTGGGGTCTCAGCCACACATAGGTCCAGGGGCCAGTGCTCCCCTCTTTCCCTTCCATGATTGGGGCGCTCTTGTGCCCCCACCCCCAGGTAGTGGGGAAGGGCCGTGAGCAGGCCTGGAGTCCTGTCGGGGAGTGTGGCTCTCACTGGACAGGGCCGAGGTGGAGGGAAGGCAGCTCTGGGCCAATTGTGGCTCTGGAGCCCTGGGGACCAGTGATGCTCACTTCTGCTGCCGTGAATAAGTATCCTGGCTCACACCGCCCTTGTGCCATGGTGCTCCTGCCTTGAAGCTGTGAGCCACGTTAAACCTCTCCTCCTTTAGGTTTTGAGTGTTGGGTGTCATGTGCAGGGATGGGAAGATGACCAGAATACCCACCCACCACCCCTGGAACCAGCTTCTGGGAACAAAACCAAGCTGTCACCTCCCCTTTCCCATTCAGATCCTTCCAGTGGGTTGCTTCCACTTTTCTTTCTTTTTTCTTTTTCATGGTGCTGGGATCAAACCCAGGGCCTGGTGCATGCTAAACATATGCTCTGTCACTGAACTATACCCCAGCCCTTACCCTAGTGTTTCTCGTGGTCCTGGAGCTGCCTGCCAGCCATCATCGTCTGGGACATGCCTCTTTCACCTCCCCATTACTGTGCTTGTGTCATGTTTACATTTTGGTGCCCCGAACACGCCAAACCCAACACCATACCAGGGCCTTTGCACATGCCATGTCCTTGCCTGGACTCCTGGCTGCTAGCTGTGCTTGTCTATGTGGCACTCCTCCCATTTCTTCTGAAACAGCACCGCCCAGCTCAGCGGGGTTCCCTTGCTTATTGCTTTCACAGAGCATCACGGTGGGATGATTTCCTTTGCTTGTGCTCCTCCTCCTCCCACATGCCCCACGGTGGGGCATGGTCTAGCATGTCCCAGGCTGGCTTTCCTGGCCCTGCATGTGCATGGCATGCTGCAGGAAGGAGTGTGGACCAGAAGACCCCTCTGCCTCTGACTCAGGTGCACTGAGGTCTGTGCCTGCCTTCCTGGGCTGGTGGGAAGAGACTTGAGGTGAGGGGCGGGATGCGGGTTGTCCCTGGTTTGAGGACCTCCTCCCTGCAGGGATCTGTGTGAGAACCTAGGATGCTCATCACCTGGTCCACTCTGAGGGTCCTCATGCTTGTGATCCACACAGTCAGTGCATCTGTTCCCCACCCCGATTCCTGCCTATGGCCATTGCCTGGCTCCCAGGATGGCCCTGGACTCGTCCAGAGTTGGCCCTGATGCCATGTGGGCTCAGCACTGGGTCCAGGGCTGCAGACCAGCCTGCTGGGCCCTCTCTGGTCCGCAGAGGCAGGGGCAGGGAGGGGAGGTGGGTCATGGAGCCCTGTAAGTCCTGGAACACCTGGTCTGGGTTGGTCCCTGGCTTGCTATGGGGAGCTGCCCGCCCTGGTGCCTGAGCTACCTCACTCTCCACCTGCTGCATCTCGGAGGCTGCGGCGGCCACTTGGTCCTCCAGCTCTGACAGTGCCTCATCCGTGGTCCTGCTGGGCTGGATGGAGACCCCAGGGCCCTGGGAGCTGCTGTCCCAGGAGTCCATGCAGCCTGCAGCTGTGTGTGCCTACAGGAGAAAAAGAGGGCAATGCTGGCCACCAGTGGGCACAGCAGGAGGGACACTGCCTGTGCCTGGGCTCCTGGAGCTGCTTGCCACCCCCTGCTACCCAGTCAGCTCTTCTTAAGGCCCCTGTGTCCCTGCAGTGGGTGCCCATTCCGGGAAGGTCCGGCTGGGACGGTCCACCCTGTCCCTCCAAGTCCCTCAGGGACTGTGGAGGTCACACCTCTGTAGTCGTCCCAGCTGCTGCATCGTCGGCCTTCTCCTCTTCAGATGAGGCGCCCTGGTCGCTGAGGGTACTGGTCAGCGCCTGCAGCTGCTGCCGCAGATTCTCCTCCTCCAGGTCAGCCTCTGTATGTGCACCTGCATTGGCCGAAGACTGCAGGGACAGGAGATGGGCTCAGAGGAGGGGCAGCCAGCCCAGCACCCCAAGGCCCACGGGAGCCAGGTCCTCACCCCTCCTCTAGGACTGCAGGGCCAGGCTCTAGTACCTAGTACCTAGTATCTAGCACCTCACTAGTGCCCATGGCCAGATCTGGTTTTGCACCCTTCCCTTCTCTGTAACTTTTTCTTACTGTGTCCCGATATGCGTAGAGTTTACCCTCGGAACCATCTTACGGTCTCCAGCTCAGCAATACAACTGCGTCCATTCCATTCACCCTTGCACTCCTCCTCTGAGAGATGGTGGCTCTCTCTCCACGAAGTCCTCTGTCCCTCAGCCCCTGGTTGCCACCTTTCTCCTCCTGCTCCTGCTCCTTTTCCTTCTCCTCCACCTCCTCCTCCTCTTTGTAGCACTAAGGACTGAACCCAGGGTTTTCACATTGAGTTACATCTTCAGACTTTTTAAAATTTTTATTTTGAGGCAGGGGCTCACAAAGTCACTAAGTTGCCCAGGCTGAACTGGAGCTTGTGATCCTCCTGCCTCAGCTTCCCAGAGTGTGAGATCACAGGTGCTCACCTGACTCCATTTTCTTTCTGTCCCTGTGATTCTGACTTCTCCAGGTGCCTGCTATAAATGAGGTCAGGTGGTGTCTGTACTCTTGTGCCAGGGATTTTGCTCAAGGGCACAGCATCGCTGCAGGGGTCTGAGTTCCCTTCTCTTAAGGCTATCTGCTGAGACCCCCGAGCTGAACACCACCGTGCAGGAGCCGACAGGCACAGTGCCCCCTGTGCCCTTAATAGGGCCCCTGCCTTGCCAGGAAGTTTCTGTCCTGAGACCAGGGGGTGGACAGTCCGGATCTTTGGGTGCTCTCTGCCACCCACAAGTCAAAATGGAAACAACCACGGCCATGTGATGTCAGCATCACCTATCATGTCAGCATCACCACTGGGTCCCGGGCTCTGTCCTGGACTTGACAATGGCAAGGCGTCCTGTTTACGGTCAGTGTTGCCTCCTGCTACTGTCCCCACCCTGGACAGGATGGAGTACTGGACTGGCTGCCCAGGCAGCAGCCCTGCCTGCCTGACTGCTTCGAGGCTCCACCCCTCTCTGGGGTCCCTGCCCCCCGAATGACCCGACTCTTTCTGCTTCCTGACTCACCTCCCTGCTGTCACTGGATCACCTCTGTCTCCTGTCTAGATCCCAAGCCCTCTGAGGAGGACACTGCTGCCAAGTCCCCGGCCACCACCTCCTGCCTGGTGGTAAAGTCACATGTCCATCTAACAACACGGCTACATGCTGGACAGTTTGTCCATCCATCTGTCCACTCTGCCCTTCATTTTGCCATCCCGAATGTCAGTGCCTCCCTGGTGGGTGTGGCCCCCAGGACAGGTTCAGCACTGGTCCTCGTCCTCACCCTTGGCCCTCCCCTCAGGGAGGGTCACCAGTTCACACCGCAGCGCTACCAGAAAGCCAAGCTTCTCCCAGGAAGCTGTGCTCAGCCCTGCGCCTGCCAGGAAGCATCGAATGCTCTTGGCCCAGCTCTCCTGGCAGTAGGAGTATGCTGACCACCATCATTTAATTTCCTGCTGGACAGACCAGCGGGCCTCACATGGCCACCACAGCGGCTAATTAGATCAGGCGTGGAGAGACAGCCCAGCGACAGGCTGGGGAGCCAGAGTCTCTGAGACCACAGGCAGAAACAAGCACTGCGCATTCAGCCCGCAAACCTCACCAAAGGCAAGGTCTTGGGCTACCCAGGAGTGAGGGAGCAGGGGTCCCTGAGAGAAAGGGGCTGAATGGGGAGGAGGCCAGGGGCCTCGGGAGAGGTGGGGCTGCCTCTGCCTATAAGCAGACTACATGGTGGCACCTAGCCAGGGTGAGGAACACAGTCAGTGCAGATTTTTAAACGTTATTATGGTGAAAGACCCACATGCAGGAGCCCTCACAGCCCCTCCCTGCCCCAGACATGCTTGGCTTTCGCCTCCTCTGTAGCAGCTTGGGGTCTTCTCCCCTGAGCAAGCTCGGCTGCACTGTCCTGGCTCCTTGATGCTGTGAATTGATGGAAAACACTGACTTTTCACGGTCAGTCTCATTCTGGGGGACACCAAGCCATCTCGGGGTGCCAGCTCTAGCGAGGTAGGTGGATGGGGACAGCGTCTTGATTTCAGGCACCTGCCTTTCTGTTGGATGGCGCCAGGCAGCACCATTCACCCTATTTTTGATCACACCTTTTGAGGCGCGGAGGAAGGACCCTGGAGCTGCGTCAAAACATGGTATGAGTGGTGGACCAAGTGATTCAAGCAGGGGGAGGACTTGGAGGGGACTCGTGGTGACCCGCCCTTCCCTGCAATGCGGCCCTCAGAACTGCAACACGTGCTGTGTACTGTCACCACCCCTCGAAGGCTCAACCTGGATGGCGTACACATGGACAGTCAGACACACAGACATTGATGACGGATGACACACGCCACATGTGATGGGGATGGTAGGACATGCTGTCCTCACTGGCCAGCACGCCAGGCTGGTGCCAATGTTTCCTTTCCCTGGAAAGCTTGGTCCTCCCTCACCAGGCCCGTGATAGCCTGAACCCACACCCTGGTGGCCAGAGGCCACTCTGCATGGACACACCTCAGCAGCTCTCAGGGACTGACCGGAAGACTCAGGCTGTCCAGGCTTGGTGTCTGTCTTGGGCACGTGTACACATGCTGGGCACACACTGTGCATGCCCTGGGCACATACCTGCACCACCTCTGGTCTGTGTGAGGCTGTGGCTCAAAGTTCCCAGGCTGGGGACTGGATGCTGGCCCTGCAGGCTTGGGGTGCAGCCTTGTGAGGGCCATGTAGCTCAGCATGGAATCTGGGCTTCTCATGGCTGCCCCTAGCCCCCAGCACTCCCCAACCCCATGTGGGCAAACTCATCACATGCAGCCTCCACTGTGGGCTTCTCAGCCCCCAGCACCACAAGCAAAACCAAACCTGAAGGCTATAAACCACAGGGCCTTCAGCGTGGCCTGCAAGGCGTCATGGGATCGAAACATGAGCTGACTACATGGTGGCATGGAAGACGCCCACACACTGTGGCCCAGGACCAGGGGCTGCAGGGCCATTGCCGCTTAGGCCCTACACAGGCACTGCCGGCCATCCTGGCTGAGTGGCCAGGGTACAGCACCTGGTAGGCAGTAGCCTTGCAGGGGTGGGGTGGGCTGGGCAGGCAGACGGTCCAGCAGCCAGCTCCATGCTCAGAGCTCGAGCCTCGATCTGGACCCTCAGGAGGTGTCCTTCCTGGAGGTGTGGGTCCTGGACACTCACTGAGGGCTGCAGGCTTTTCTGCTTCTCCGCCTTTGGAAGGCCAGAGAGAGGGCGTCAAGTGGCCAGCGGAGTTGCACAGCTGACATGTGAGGGAGGACAGTGGCCAACAGGACACCGGCACCTAGCACCTGGCACTGGCAAAGCCTTGCGTTCCCCAAGGGTGGAAGGAGGGCAAAACCATGACCCATGGCATAGCCAGGGGTTCTTGGCCAGGGCCCAGGGACACCAAGCAAAGGTGGGAGGCTGGGAGTGGCACAGGTGGGGACAAAGCCAGTGGGACCAGGAAGCTAAAGATGAAGGGACAACACTGTTGTCACATTAGGCCGCAATAGTCACTGCCCAGTGGTGGGCACAGGAAGGTGTGAGCTATGCAGCATCTGGTGACCAAACCAAAGCCATTATCGAGCGAGGGTCTTGATCATCTTGGGCCGGAAGGTGGCTCTCCAGGTGGCTTCCAAAGTGACCAGAAGCACAACTTCCCCTCCCTGAGTCACCAGCCCCTGAGTCACCCAAAGCCCATTAGCTCCCGATGCAGGCCCAAAAATCAATGCTCTTGGTGCTCGAGGCGGGCAGGGGTGGCTCATCTGCCAGTCGCCTCCGTGGGCCTCGTTTGCAGGGGAAATGGACTGCGGAGCAAAGCGTCAAGACACTTTGTGAGCGGGCAGGTAATTAGGTGACCCCCGAAGCACCCGGGGCCTCGAGGGGGAGGAGACGCTGGAAATGTCACCCTGAGCATGTCTGTGATGCTCAAGTGGCCGCCAGGACATGGTGTCTGTGGGCGTGGTGATCGATAGCCTGGGGAGAGAGCTGGGCAGGCGGTGGCTGTTGCCTGTGGGGACCGGGGAGTGGGAAACGCCACATACTCCTCCCCAGCCCGGGAGACAGGAGTGCTGGGGTTGTGTGTGTGTGGCGGGGTGGTGGTGCTGCAAAGTCAGCTCGGGCTCTGCTCTGCATAGCCTGCTGAGGAGGAGCCCAGGACCTGAGCCACTGTGGGTTTAGGAAAAGTTGCCAAACTTGCACCTGGGGCAGAGGCCTTCAGGTCGCTCTCTGCCCTCTTGGAGGCGTAACTCTCCCTGCATCTACTTTATAGGAAGTTTGAGCCAGACTTTTGCATGGCCCGTGTGTCTTGACTGAATTCGTTTGTCAAGGTCACAAAGCACTCAGGAAGGGGCTGGTTCCTTGCTGTGTCCAGACCTGGCTTCCCAGGTCTGCCCAGAGACCAAGTCCTTCATGGCCACCATTACCTGGCTCTTGAGTGCAGCCCAGCCTCTCTGCTTGGGATGCTGGGAGGTGGCCCTGGGCCCCTGGACACTGTCTTCATCAGAGGTGTCCACATCAGCCAGGTATTGTGCAGGGAGCTGCCTCTCCCTGGTGGCATTTGTCCCTGGAGAGAAAAAGGAGGTCTGAGTGATCTGGAGGGGAAGCTGAGTGCTGGTGGGCGTGTTCTGTGCGGTGAAGGCTGTACAAGCTGGAGACAGCAGAGCCATAATTCCTTTGACAAGGAAGATCTTCCCCGGACCTGAGATTTGCACCCTTTGTGGCAGGAGAACCCCATGTAGGGACCTTCACCCTCACCAGTCACCTGGCACAGTTGCACCTGGCCAGAGTTCCACCCATGGAGGGGGCAGGGAAGGGGCCCGCAGGAGTGAAGGGCGCACACCCGTCTGTCCTGTTGATCACAGCACTTTGCAAATTCAGCTGACAACCTGGCTGAGCCAGAGATGGTGCCAAGTCTAGGTGAGACCACAGCCCCACAATACGGCCTGGGAGACCCCGTGCTGAGCCACACACCTGCTCCCCATGTGTGCAGTTTAAGCACAGGTGCGTGACAGTTTGTCCCATGGCAAAGTGCACAGCCCTGACCTGACCCTCCCCTCCTGTCCCTGAGATGTGGGATGCCGCTGACCCCGAGCACCAGTGAGGACCCTGAGGCATTGCGAGGGATGTGGGATCAAGCAGCACACAGGGTTTCCTCAGCTGTCACCCTGCAGCCTCCTGCATTGCGGCAGACACTGCCCCCACCCCCACAGCCTATTCTCACTGGACCACACATCCTCAAGGAGACGCCCAAGTGTGAGAATGCCGGAAGGGCTGAGGTGCTGGGCTCCAAACTCAGCACGGTTGACTGTGGGGTCTCCTGCCTGCTCCCTGTCCCCTCCTCCACCACCAGGGGACCCATGGTCATGGGGCAGGAGGAGGACTCAATGTTCTCCATCCTATCTTCTACAACTGCTTTCATGCATTGTTTTTGGGGGAGGCGGGGTCTTGCTTTCTCCCTGGCCTCCAGGACCCTCACCAGTGTGAGGACCACGGCCTCCCTGGCCCCGCTGTATAGTGACACTGGGAGACGGGCACAGGCCTCGCAGGCCACCGGCCTCCCTGATACTGTTTGTTCCAACTTTAACTGGTGACAGACAAACCCATCAACCGCGTTCCCTGGGGCCTGGAGAGCTTGGCGACTCTGGGATTTCATCTGGAAGCAGCACTGTCAGGCAAAATTCAAGAGTCTCGTGGTTCTGGACTCCTGACAGGTAGCTGTGGGCACCTGGCCAGGACACTGAGCCCCACAGCAGCCCCGGATCTGGTGGAGTTGCCCCTCTGCAGTCAGCAAGGCCACTCGGGTGTCCTCAGCCATGCTGGGGACATTGAATAGCTCTGGCCTGCACCTGTGCTGAGTGTTTGCCAACTCTTCTGCTGGTATTTCTGGGAGTCCCAGGGGAAGCAGGGACTGCAGGCATCCATGTTGCTGGCCAGGATGCACACACAGGGGACAATCATGTTGAAGAAGGGACCTTTCTGACCCAGCCGCTGGGTCTGCTCAACAGCCCCTTTCCCCACAGAGCCAGACAGACCCTGGCCAAGGGCATGCACCTGGTACCGAAGCTGTCTGCAGAGCCGTGGTGTTGGGGTCTGCAGACGGGCCAAGCTCCACGGTGGCGTCCAGTTCTGAAGGTGAGAGGCTGCTTGGCTGCTCAGGTGGACAGAGGTCCTCCTCCTGCAGGACCTCAGGCTCCTGGGAGGTGGTGTCAGTGGAGTGGTCACCTGGGAGGGACTGAGCACAGGGCTATCAGCCTCAAAGCATGGGTTCCTGCCTGCCTGAGCACCCCACTGTGTTCTCTTTGATCCTTGAACGTCAGAAGGGGCAGAGTGGGCAAGGGCAGGGCTTCTCTTGGCTGCAATCTGGACCCCTTTGGCAGAGGGGCCCCTGCATTGTGCCACTGTCCCTAAGGAAGTGGGGGTGGAGGGCTTCTGGGACTAACAGGCCCCAGCTTCCCTGGGGGCCACAGAAATGCAAAGTCACAGCCTGACCTGCAGGGAGAGCAGGACTGCAGCCAGAGCTCCTCAGGTATTGCTTCCTTTGGGCCTGTTTTTTCTCCCCCCTCCCACTGCCTGCTGCAGACCCACCCTGTCCAGGTGCCTGCTGGCACCGCCAGAGCCCAGGGTCGCTGAGAGGCTGGAGGCTGTTCCCAGGCCTTGTCCTGGCTCCCGCGCCCCTAGCCACCTTCACTGCCTGCTGGGTGCCCCATGCATGCCGGGCACAGCCTCGCCCTGAAAATCAGCCCGGGAGGCAGAAGCACTCGATGCTCTGCCAGGTTCAGGGGCGGAGCCTCAAAGAGGCTCTGGGGCGCCGAGTCACACGGCACCGGTGCAGACAGACCGGAGCCTGGTGCAGCTGCTCAGGCCGCAGAGGCTGGCGTCCAGGTGTGTGCACCAGGGCAGCCCTCGAAAGATTGGTTTAGGCTGGGCAGAAATAGGTAAGACACCCTCCAAGGGGACAGAGGCCGCAGACGCCGCTCCCCACCTGCCCTCTGGAATTTCAGGGTCTGTTGGTTCTGGATTCCCTGATTCACCTGCAGCCCTGCCCACCTCTGCTCATCCCTCCTGGGACCCTTGCCTTGGGAGGTGTGACATTTGTGGAACCCATGACTCCCTGTTAGCCACACTGTCGCCCTGCCCCAGGAGCCTGAGGTGACTGCAGGGCTGCTGGACACTGCTTCCTGAGCTGCGCCTGCCCTGGGCCTGCAGCTCCTGTGTCCGTATGGAGTGGGGCGGATGTGAGCCACCCACCTGTAGGCTGTCTGAGGCCCAGGGGACCGAGGACAGGTGTGAGAGGTGACCATAAGGCTCCAGAGAGTTGTCTGAGTCCTCCTCGAAGTCCAGGTCATGGAAGGAGAGAAGGCGTCTCTTCTTCACAGGTGATAGGAAAGGGAGGCTGGAGTCGGGGTCAGCTTGGGGGGGACCAGATCCCCACTCCCACTCAGCCTGGACGGGCATGGCCTCCTCCGAAGGAGCCTGGACCTCCGAGAAACACAGCTCAGTGGATTCCTGTGCCCCCATCAGATCCTTGTTCCCAGAACAGTATTGACCCCGGGGTCACATGCTTGGAGCTCCTGGGTAAGGCAAAGGTGTCCTGGGCTTTGGAATAAAGGAGCTCACAGGCTCCAGGGACAGAGATGGGGAAGCTGTGCAGAGTGCTCTCCTCTTCCCGATGGAATATTCCAGCACAGGAGAGCATTCTGGGAGGTTTGGCACAAAAAAAGATGACCATGTCCCCATCCAGCAGCTGTGCAGATCTGGGTCTCACAAATCTGTCACCCTTGAAGGGTCTGAGTCAGAACCTCACGTCCCTGGCCAGTCCCCCTGCCCACCTCTCCAGCCCTGGCCTTCTGCCCGAGGCCCTGGAGCCACCGGCTGCCCAGCTTTCTCTGCCATCCAAAGTGAGAAAACGTGAACCAGCACTGTAATGCTGGCTCGAGGTCGGTGAGTGACAGAGCTGGAAACTTCCCAGGGAGACCTAAGACTCTGCCCCACCCCACAAGGGGTCCTTGCCCCCTGGGGGACCCTTTTGTCCCAGGGCTTCCAGGTCTACGACACTGTGTGCTCGAGGACCCCACCCATATGGGCCAGACCTCCCAGAAGGCTCTGCCAGCCCAGCCCAATTGGCACCCCTGGGTGAGCATGCGGCTCCTCTCCGGGGCCAGGGACCGGCCAGATATGGAACTGACTGCAGGGGAGCCCACTGAGACCTTCAGGAGATCAGAGCTGGGTTTCAGGGAGGGGTGGGCAAGCCAAAGGGTGCCAGGGCAGGACTCACTTTGCTTCCGAGGGGCTGGGCCTTGGCCCCCATGTCGGGCTCTTCATCCTCGTCTGTCTGCTCACTGTCTCCGTTTTTCTCTCCTGGGCTGAGCTCAGGCCTCCCTGCAGCAGGACACTGTGTGGTTCCACTGAAGAGACTGGACTGGGGGGCACTGTCCTGTCCATCTACCTGCTTACGTACCCCACCTGCCAGTCCACCTCCAGCCTTCTTTCCTCACTCACCCCTCTTCTACCTACCTACCCACTCTACCCACGCAGCCACCAGGCCACCCATCTACCCACTACCACCTCCTTCCCTTTTCCTATGTCCACACACTCATCCACTAATCTCTCCATCTGTCCATCCATCCTACCTCTCCACCCCCAACCATCCATCGTCAACGCACCCACTTCTCCATCCATCCACCCACCCATCATCCATCCCGCCACCTCTCCATCCATCCATCATCCATCCCACCCACCTCTCCATCCACCCATCCACCACCCACCATCCATCCCACCTCTACATCCATTCATCCGTCCTACCTCCCCACTCCAAACATCTATCATCTATCCTATCCATCCATTCATCCATCTATCCATCCATCCCTTCTCTCCATCCTTCTGTCCACCCATACATATGTCCACCCCTCTGCCCCACCAGCTGACACAGATACTTCCACAGAGATAGAGACAAACTCACTCCTGGGCCTTGAACCTGGTACTCATTAAAATCATGATTTGCATTTTCTTTGGAGGCAGTCAGGATTTAAGAGTGGTTTATGCTAAAATTAGTGACCTTTCTTTTGGGCCCACAGAGGTACCAGGTAGCTACAAGCAGAACAAGGCCTGGTCTCATTTCTTTCTGCCTCCTTTACCACGGAGGAAGCTCTGGGTCAGACCCTCCCTCGGCACTGCAGGCTGGCAAGCTGACAGCCAGGTGTCTGTCCAATTGGTCAGGCCAGAATTCATAAGAATCCATACCTCTTCAAGAATAAGGACACCAAGATAAGAAATTGGTAGGGATGTTCAACCAGCAACACGTGCCCAGAAGTTTCTAGTCACTGCCCTAAACCTAGGGTCACCCTGGATTCCAGCAGAGTCTCTACCAGGCTGAGACAGCCCTGGACAGAAACAATTCTGTCCTGGAGACCAAATTGCCCCTCAAGTGACCAGAACTTCTTCCAGAGCCATCCTGCAGCCTGAAGCTGAGACAGTGGCCAGCAGAGCCCAGCACACACCTGCGGCTCCATGCTGGTCTCCTTCTCCTGCCCTCTCTGTTGGCGCTGAGCCCCTGAAGCTCAAGCTGAGGCCCCGGCCCTGTCTCCTCAGCCTGTGCTGCTCATCGATCCTTCCTGAAGTGCTTTTGTCTCATGAGAGTCAACGAACTACTGCCCAGAGTGAGTCGAGGTCCCCACCTCCTCTTTAGAGAAGCCTCCTTGGACCCCATCTGGTCATACACTTCCCCTCCTCCATCCTGCCTTCTGGTCTGTCTGAACGTCTGCTGAGAAAGGGCCAGCAAGGCCTCCTGCCACCCTCTGAAAGATACGGCCGACCTCAGTCCTCCTGAGACCAGAGCTGCATCCCTTGTATCAATAGCCCTGGCCATGTCTGCTGCCCACTGCCTGTCTGAAGTTCCTGAATGAGGACAGGAGCCACACTGGGTTTCTTTAGGCGGATTCCTTTGCCACAGGCCTGGCTGGGAGGCTGGTGCCCCACCTTCTGCTCAGCTCCCATTCCCCCCTCTGCCCTGGTCACCCAGGCCCAGCCTCTCCGGGGTGCCCCAGTGCTCCTCTCTCCTTCCACTTGTGTTCAGCCTGTGCTCCATTTCCTTGCTCCCTGCAGAAAGCGACCCATAGTGGACCCAGGTCTGAGAGTGGACAGACTGGTGGGTCACACGCCTTCTGGTCTCTGGGAACACAGAGGGCACAGCCAGACTTCAGACTGCAGACTGCACACTGCAGGGCTTGAATGCTGCCAGGCTTTGCTGCCTATAGATGCCCATATCCTGTCACCCACCCATCGGTCTCTGGGCCTTGGGGTCCCAGGTGGGAACAGTGAGGGGTGGTGCACTGTAGGATCAACTGTACAGGGACAGTGTGGTGTCCACCTGTGTGGCAGACGCAGACACCTGGCAGCGTAAGGCAGGGCTGGTCCTGTAAGGCACCTCCACCCAGGGGGTGGGGGGTTAGCCCCATCCTGGCCCCGCAGCCCAGGGCCTGCACCCTGACTTCCAGTCAGCCCCATGGCATCCGATGCACAGCCCCAGGCCCCACTTCTGGGTGGCTCCTCCAGACCCCCTTTCTCTCAGTCGCAGTCTCTGCCTGTTGCCCCTGGGCCAGAGTGGGACACCCGTGCTTCCTGTAGTCCCCATCCTGCTGTCTCAGTATCCCTGCCATAGCCGATTCCCGATACAGATCCATGTGCATTTTCCCATGCTTCTCTCCTCTCTTCCAGGCCCCGGACACCCCCTCCCGTGCCTTCCAGTCCTGGGGGCCCGGGCGTCCACACTGATGTTCCCGAGTTGGGGCAGCAGGGCCTCCTCCTCTACGCTCTTATTCTCAGGGCTGCCTGGGCTGCATGCACAGATCCTCCTCACACAGAACAGAAGGCACCCCGTGACCTCGGGAGGGGACTCAGGTGTGGAAGAGACTCCCCTGGCTTGGAATTCTGTTTACCACTGAGAGAAAAGTGCAGCCAGTGGGAAGACCATGGGCTGGGGGAGCTCCAAGCCCAGCCGCTCAGCTCGAAACCTTGGCCTGCAATACCAGCTGCCCCTCAGCGTTGGCGCCTGTCTACCTCCTTGGGGGTGGGGTTGGGGCAGCCTGTGTGTGGCAGTTTTATGGAGATGGGGGGAGAATAGAGGCAAGCTGGGGTCTCCCTCTTAGACTCCAAGGGCCTGAGGCCAGGGCTGGCACCAACTGCCTTGCTCCTAGGGCCCGGTGGTGGTGGTGGTGGGGCAGATGTGGACAGACATCCATCCCTGCTCCCCACAGGAGGCCCTGAACCCTCCTCACCTCAGGACTACACTAACTGACCGTCCACCAGGCCAAGTCACACTACAAAAATCCTGAGGATTTTCTACATTCCTGATGCCAAGTGGAGACTTGATGACCTCACCCAAGGGGGAGGAGAAACCATCAGAAACCACTGGGATGAAAAGATCACCTGGGCCCACAACCCTCCAAGCAGAACGACATCACAGGCAAGGCAGCCTCCGAGGTGGGCACAGTGTGGGCTGGGGGCAGCCCAGGTCCCCAGCAGAGACACAGACCTCTGTGAGGTCAAAGACCCCAGCAGCTGCCCACTGGGTACAGTCAGGTTTCCAAACCTGGAGTTTAATCTTTAAATTTTTTTTTTAAAAAAAAACTCTTTGTTATGAACTGGGCTGAACCCAGCCAGTTATGAACCCTTTGTCTGAACCCAGGGCTTCTGTGCTGAGCTCCATCCTTGATCTTTAAGCTAAGTTGCTTATGCTGGGCTGGACTTTAAAATCCTCCTGCCTCAGCCTGCCTGAGTGCTGGGCTTGCAGGTATGCATCACCTAGCACTAAAAAGTTTAAGTGCTTGACTTTCTCACTTGCTCCCACTTTCCTTGAGTCCAGTCTTCTTGGGCTGAAGTGTCCAGAGTCCAGGTGGACTCGGCATGTGTGGGCAGCCTGAGACCCCACAATGCGGGCCAGTGCCAAGGGGCTGTAACACGGCAGCAGACTGCCCTATCCAGTTTCCTGTTGCCCAGCAGCGCCACCTGCTGACCAGCGTGGTGACAATTCTGAAACCCGCAGGTTCCTTGCCAGCTCCAGTGCCCTGGTTGACCTTCCTGAGCCCAGCCCGCTCAGCCCCTAGCACCCAGCAGCCCCAGGGTGAGGCCGAGTCCTGGAATCTAACAGGGCTGATGAGGGTTCCGGCTGGGAGAAGGCTGGCCCAGCTCCGGGGCGTGAGGACCTAATACTTGCATAGGGGCACTGGCCTGAGACAAGTGGCAGCCAGGAAGCAGCAGCACCAAGTTGGGGGATAGTGGCTCCCCAAGTCACCACATTGGCCCAGTTAGGATGACTGAGCTCATGCCTCTAAGCCCTCACCACCCACGAAATGGAGCTGGCCCATCTCCTGCCACGACGGGTGCCGGAAGTGGCCACAGCTGAGGGTCTCTGACCTCTGTCTCTGCCTCAGACACACCCATGCCAGCCCAGTGTGGTCTCCAATGCCCTAAGGGCATTTTCCATTGCCCAGATTCTGCTCCTTCCTATCCATTGGGCTTTCCAGACAGGCATGAGTAAGGCACCACTGAAGAGGCGGCTCCCAGGAGACGCCTGGCTTGGCACGTAGGGACCCTGCTGTGGTTGTGCCCGGCTTCTGAGTACTGATTCGGTCTAGCGGGTGGGGCGTCCCAGAAGCTGGAACCCCACACACCAGGCTCTGTGGGCAGTGCAGCCTGATGAATGCTTGGCAGGCTTGCTGGCCAGCAGAGGCCTAGCACTCAGGTGACAGGGACAGCCAGACCTCATCCTTCCATTCCACTTCAAGTCCAAACCCCACACCCCGGCCCCTCCCCTGGGATTCCTCTTTCTGAGCACATTAAAGGGGGTGGAGGGGAGAATGAGCCGTGTAGCTCAAGTGCATCACAAAACAAGGTCTTGGATTCCAACCCCCCAGCAAAGGACTGACTCCCAAGAGGCTTCTCTGAGGCTTGCTGTTCATCAGAGCTATGTGGGAGGTGCAGGCCCCAAACCCAGGAAGCTGGGCCCAGAGGAGGTACGCTAGTAACACAAGCTCAGGGGAGTTCAGGGCCAGGGACCTGGCTGTGTGACTCTACTTGCTATAAAACACTTTGAAAATGTATAATTTAAACCCCGGAGACGTTCCTAGCATGCAGGGCTTCCCAGAAGGCTGAGCAGGCAGCCGGAAGCAAGGGTTTGCCCTTCTCCCAGAAAGCCATTGACAGAGGGTCAGTTTGTCTGTCGGCCTGTCTCTTCCCAGAGTAATCCGCTTTCTCAGGAAACATCACCCTCGGCCCAGGAGCAGCAGCGCACCGGTGTCCCCTCCTTACCTCCGCCCCGCAGCCGCCCACACAGGGACTGCACCACCTTCGCGCTCCCGAACCGCTTGAAGCGGGCTCTCACGTGCTCATAGTACCACTCCAGCGAGCCGATCTTCACCACCCTGTGGGCACAGGTCCGAGGCGTGGCCTGTGAGCTGCGCAGGTGCGTACCCACGCTGCGCACACCGGGCATCCCCCCTTGCGCAGTGAGCTTCTCAAAGGGAAGAGCTGGGCCTGGTGAGCCTTGGGCTGGCTTGACTTTGGGGCGTGGCTCACCTGGCCAGGTGGCAGGGGTCACACAGCCAGCCCCGCACCTCTGGGTGGGCGTGGCTGCAATGTTTGCAGGTGAAGAGGCCGCAGTCCAGGCACTGCCGCTTGCCGCTCACGAAGAGCCGGTAGGGCTGTAGGCAGCGGGCGCAGTGCGTCTCGTTCAGGTGGGCCGTGTCCGACAGCAGCTCCCGCTTGGAGCTCTCCCACCTGATCTTGCCCTTCAGCCGCCTGCGGAAACGAGAAAGAGGCTGGAGGTCTCGATTTTGCACACGCACACACAGAGGAATTCTGGACAGAGGAATTCAGGACAGCGAGCCTGTATTGGGCAGACATGGTCATGGGCATCCTCAGTACCCACAGTGCCACCTCTATGCCCTCGCTGTCTCCCTGTGGGGAAGACCACAAGGCTGGGCTCCATCAGGCGAGGTAGCCTGGCATTCCTATAGAAATGACACTGTGCGGATGTGTTTCTGCGCTTTGCACAATCGGGCCAGTGGTTTGAATGCCAGGTACTGTGCCCTCCCGCAAAGCCAGGTGCTGTTTCCCCAGCAAGCATTTAGGGGTCTCTCCCAGCATGGGGGAGCCCTCAGGCTTGTCCCGGGGAGCATGGCTGAAGTAGTCAGGTGAGGCAAGGCTCTAGTGTACGAGTCACCCAGCACCCATAAGTCTTGGAAGCCACTGCTGGAGACTGCCTGGTTTCCAACACGGCTTCCTGGTGGCCCTGCCAAGGGAAATGCAGCCTGGGCAGTAATGACCATGTCCTTCTGTTCTGAGTTTCAGAGAATGACTGCCAAATACAATATTTTTAGTTTTAGATGAGATAAAATTAATCTATTCACCAGGAAAAAAGAAAGGGTGAAACACCAGTGCCACTGTCTTTTGAGAACCCTGAGGTCCTCAGAGTGTCAGGGGACACCTCAGCGGGTGGCCAGGGGACACAGGTGCCAGGCAGCTGCCTCCGGTTCACACTGGTGTAGGTGAGTGTCACCGATTCCTTCCTCCCCTTACCCATTCCCTCACTCACACAGGGGACAGGTACGCCAAGCACAGGACAGGGACACATTTTGAAAGAGAGAAGGGGGGATACAGAGACCAAGTCACAGAAGTTTTATTACAATATATCTTTATAATTATCCTATTTTATTATTAGTTATGTTGTCCGTCTCTCACTTTCCTAACTTGTAAGCTAGACTCTATCACTGGTGCATGTGTGAGGTGACACAGCTCATACACAACTTCAGCTCCACCCACGGTGGGTCTTGGAACACCTCAGGATTGGTGGGGGTGTGCTACTGTACTCACAAAGACACGAAATAAGATTCTTGTGACAGCTGTGGAAAGCAAGGCACGCTGGGCAAGCCGTCGTGGGAGCCCAAGAATGTGTCACCCCTGCTCGGAGTAGCTCCCAGTACACCAGCCAAGCCCCTAGAGCCAGGATGCAAGGGCCACTCCTGCTCCTGCCAAATCTGCACCCCCTGCGGAAGCCAAAGGCCACCCTCCCAGCAGGGCTGTCTAGTCTTTGGGCAGAACTAGAGCAGGGAAGGGGGACTCTAGAAGGGAGAGGAAGACATTTGAGGTGGCTGTACCCTCTTCAATAAGAGGAGGGCCCTCAAAGAGCCCAGCAGCTGGCTGGCCATTGAGCTATTTGTATTTTGTTTCAGGTTCTTTGAAACATAACTTCCCTTCTCCACAGCTGGAGAGCAGGAAGGGAGGCAAAGAAGATCCATGTCAGAGACCAGGGAACCCCTGCCAGCCGCTGGGCGCATCAACCAGAGCTGGGGCTGCAGAGGGTCAGGGCAGGGCACTGACACAGACACCAGGTCAACCAGATGTCCCGATGCACTGCCCCCCTGCACTGGCAGGAAAGAGCCCAGCATGTGGCCACAAACGTTGATGTTTTGATGCAAGAACCGGGCAGTTGCCTGAATCTTGACCTGAACTAGGAACTTTTATTTTGAAATGCCATTTTCGCTTGGATGAAGAACTGAGAGATAAACTATTGGAACTGGAGCACTTGGCAGTCATTTTCTCTGAAGTGAACAAAGTGAGCCTGCCACTTTGGGAAGAGAAACACAGTGTTTCTCATTAACTGCTGTTGATGAAACCAAAAGCTTCAAACACAAAGCTTCAGAACTTTGAGAAACTCACGTCCTCCACTCTGAGCTTGAAGGTTTCTAGTCCCGGGATTTCCATGGTTTCCCTCTGTCATGCATCATAAGATCCGTGGATGGTGAAGCCTGCATAGCTCAGGGAAGCCACGTCTGTTAAAGGACTCTGGGGAGTCACAAAAATCACGTGCAGGTAGAAGTCTCCCTCCAGGGGCAGGCAGACCAGTGGCTAGTAACGGAGCAGGAAAAGCTCATGGATCTTTCAGAGTCTGCACCATAACTGACCCCTAGGAAACTGCCAAAGGGCCGGGTTTTCAAGTAGTGATGAAACAATGTGCCGTTTATCAACTGTCCCATTTCCCAGCTACAGGTATGGGTGGGGCTGGCTTTTCTTCACGTCCTCCTGCTCACATAGCACGTCACTGAAGTCTGCTTGCACAGGCAAGGTGGAATTCACCAGCTGCTGAAGGGATTTTGGAAAATACAGATCAGTGTCTTCTCATGATCTTCTCACTCACAGTTTTGTTTTGGAAAAGTAGTTAATTTTCAGGAAACGATGCTCCTGTTACCATGTTACTGCTGTTAATGTTAAATGAATAAATAGATAAAACTCCTAGTTTTAGGTTTTAATCCAGTGAATATTGACAGATGTAACTCACAAAATAACACTTTTGGGGCTTCTTGAGAATTTAACACTGTGAAGAGAACCCGAGGCTTAACAGCTTGAGAATTTTTGGTTTTGATGTCAAGTTTGCTTTTCCTTTCAGGGTTTAGAGAAAGGAGAGCGTGAACTCCCAGGGGCGAGTGGGTCCTACACATTGGGGGCAACAGAGGCATAGAGCAAGTGGCCTTGGGTCACCCAGGGCCACTGCCATCAGGAGTTGTGACAGGTAGATGCAGAGAGAGCTGAGGGAGGTCCCTGTGCTCAGTGTCTCTGAGGAAAAGATGGAGATGACAGGGGACGGGGAGGCCCCTCCAGTTGTGGTGGGGTTCGGAGTGCAGAGGACAGGGCAGGGTGAAGTGGTCACACCTACTGTCCAGCTCTTCTCTCAGCGACTCAAGCTGACCTCTCTCTGCTCTGCCTCCTCTTCCTCCCATTTAGAAAGTTCCCACCACTGCCCTGGGCCCACACAGCAGATTCAGGACAACATCCCCACGTTCATCTCAGCTGACCGGCAGCCTGGATTCTACCTGCAGCCTTGTGCTCCTTTTCCAGAATCAAACAGTTCCAGACTCTGGGCACTGGGCCATGGTCATGTGTCTCTTGGGGGTGGTGGCCAGGGATCCTACTGCCTGCCCTGGGGAGCAGCTTCCCGGGATCCCACAGGGAGTGTGCTTCGCCCACAGCCACATGGAACAGTCTCAGGTACTAAATGCACACCCCAAGCCACTCTGGAGAAAACAGATTGAGGACGTGCTCCCAATGACTGAAAAGAGAATCCAAGGAGGACCTGCATGATGGACATCATGGTGACCAGGGAGACCAAGGTTTCCCAGGGGATACCCGGGGAAAGAGGAGGAAAGGGATTAATGGTGACCAGGAGCAAGTCCCTGGCTCCAGCTCAGGAATTATGATGAGGGAGAGTGAAATGTGCTATTGTCTGTGGAGGTCCTGCTGGGGGAATGACCAAGATGATGATGGCGGTGATGTGCAGGAACAAAGTGGTGATGCGTGAGTGACAGGTCACAGAGACAGAGAGCTGCAGAGAATCTTGTGAGTGATCTTAGAGCAGAGTTAATCTCAGGCCCTGAGCAGGCAGCTGGTTTCCTGTTTTCACCCTGGCCTCTCAGCCTATGGTCACCCAACTGCCGTACCAAGTGGTCCAGCGGAGGGAACCTTCTGGGTTCTCCTTACCATTTCTCCTGAGCCACAGCTGCCCTGTTTCACCCTGGGAGATCCTTCCCTGATCCTCTCAGGAGTCCTTGGCTGTTTGTAGAGATCAGGACTCCACCTCACCACCTATTTGCCTTTCTGGGAAGGTTAGCAGGCCCAATATTTGATTTTCGGGCTGTGCCCTGTGGAGCAGGGTGTTCCGTGGAAGCGCTTTCTGTCCACCTGGGGCATGACTCACCACGTCGGGTGGCGTCCTGTCTGCTCATCCCTTCTGGGCTCAGGACTGGCCAATCTCTTCTGCCCCGGCCACAGCCCGGTGGCTACCCCACCAGGCAGAAAGCAGCTGCAATGGAACTTCAGATAAGCACGACGCCAAGCAAGCTGACTCTGGGCAAGCCCCGCCCAAGGCACCGATGCAGGCTCTGAGCGTCCGGAGAGAGACTCTGGGTTGCCAGGTTCCTGGGGGGAGGGCAGGGCTCACAGGCTGTGGCCATTATCTGTTTGTCCCCTCCAGGGATTACTTTGGCATGACTTTATGTTTGCATGACATTAACAATAATAATGTGTAATGACCTTTTCTGTACTGAAAAACTTTTGCTATCCAAGTGACACGAGTGAGGGACTCCAAGGAGAGAGTCGACTGACCTGGGGCTGAATGGACAGGAAGAGGCCCCCTTTCTCCCTGCTGGGCACCCCACAGCCTGTGAGCAGGGCCCTTCCTCGTGCTCTCTCCAGGCAGAAAGAGACTGGCCTCTTAGTGCTGGGCAGGTGTCTGCTGTCTGAGGGTGCAGTGAAGCGCTCAGGAGGGGCTCGGTTCTAAGGAACTGCTTCAGCCAGCCCAGAGGGAGGACGGCTGGGCCAGGGCTGCAGAGGCCTGGGTGACTTGGGAATGAATCTGGGCCACTGGGAGCCTGCTGTGGCACAGCAGGACCTGGGCAGCACATGTCTCACTGGCTCTGACAGCGACGGAATCCTGGCTATGCTAGATGTTGCCCAGCACCCTGGGAGTGACTGATGTTCATGCCCAGGAGGAGGACAGCTGCCCGCCTAGTGTGTTGCTCCGTTAACTTCTCGGTGCTCACAGACGTTTCAGGTGGGCTGGTTTCAGACAGCTTATTTGGTGACCAGGCCTACTGGCCAATCGTCCCTCGGTGACCTCACTTCTGGGGTGCTGGCCTGGAGCCCACACGTGGCATCCACCTGACGGTGTTCACAATGGGATGTGTTTTCCAGGTAACGAGTGGACTGTTTCACAGTGAACTTGCTTCTGCCATGTTCCTTCCATTAACTGTTGAGACCATAGCCTCGGTGGGATTCTCTGAGCCAGGGCACCCATGGGGCACCCCTTGGGGAACAAGTCAAGGCCCCTGGAAGCTGACACCCTCATTCGCTGGATTTGCTATGGTCACTTACACAGAGTTCATGAGGAGCCGAGGGCCCCCTCAGCCCTGCGATCCAGAGATGGAAGAGTCAGGCCCTGGGAGGTGAGACACACAAGGATAGTGGGGCTGTGGTGGCCGAGTCCGGTGACATCGGTGTCAAAACTGGCTAAACAGGTAGCAGGACACTGATAGAAGATGGGGAGGCGGAGCTTATTACTTAAAAGTCACCCTCGGCTTCCTCCTGGTGCCTGGCATGTTAGCCAGCCTGCCCCGCAGGTCCAGAATGAAGAGGGTCTTCTCCTGCTGGGTTCAATCACCCTCTTTCCAAGTGCCAGCTCCATCCCCGTCTGTGCCGATGCCACAGCAGCCTGATGCCTGAGACCACGTGCCCAGGGCTGTGCTCCTAGGGTCAGGAGGGACTCAGAGACAGGAGTCCAGGGTATAGGCAGCTCTACCTTCAATGACACATTTAGAAGATGTGTCACAGTAAAAGACGCTTTGCCACTCGCCCCCCTCCGAGAATTCCTCATCCCATTGTTCTTGCCACTTTCCAAAGCGGTTCTGGAGGTTGACGCTCCTGAGTGTCTCTTCTCCCTGTCGTGTCTGCCTCGAGGCGCTGAATCTGCTCCATCCACCTTTGGGGAGGAGCCGGTAGTCACACGGCGCCTGCCCTAGTGGGTAGGTGGAGGGGTCACCGTGCAGTGTCTGCAGAGCTCGCCTTTCTCTTGGGGGGTGCTTGGCAGCGCTTGGCAGCAGCTTCAACTCACAAAGACAGGAAGGAGGACTCCAGAGCTGCTTCAGAAGGTGCCACGCATGGTGGGATGACTGTGTTTGATGTAAGGGAGAGGATTCTGAGGGTATTTGGGGCCACGTGTCTTAGTGTAGCATTTAGTCTTACTGTAGCATTTAGACATCCGCCATATATTTTGAGCACCTTTGGGTTTAATACATGACGCCCTGGTGTGAACGTGAGCCCGATGGGGTTGGGGGTGCTTAAGAAGGTCACTCCTGGTCTCAGGACTGCCCGTGACTTTGTCCTTTCAATGACCCAGGCCACCACCTTGCAGTCTCCCTAGACGCCTCCGTGGACAAACTTTCTACTTTGCCTTCCACATCTCCGGAGTCTGAGGCTTGCAGCGAAGGGCCCAGAGGAATCGAGGCCCTCCACTGCCTTGCCCTCTGCCCCCAGCTCCTATCCCCTGGCCCCATTATCTGCTCCCGACAGGGTGTTCTCGGTCGTCCTCTGTGGCCCTCCAGCTCAGCACATCCTTGGAGGCCTGGGCCTGGCTACTGCCCTCACCTCCCACGAACTCCTCAGCAGGCTGACCCAGCCCATGTAAGCCCCTTAGAGGGAGAGGTCACAGGGCCTGGTGGCTGACATACGCCTGGTCAGGGGAGGCAGGAGGAGGCTGAGGGAGGAGGAGGCACGCTGAGGGGAGGGGAGCCCCTGGGGAGGGTGGGAGCCAGCCTGTCCCTTCGACCCCCACATCCAGGCACAGCTCAGGGACATCAATAGGCCCCGGTGCCACCTCAAGCTAAGTCTGGGGAAGGCACTGGGAAGCTGGGCCAAGTGAGGTAGGTGCTCAGGGGAGCGCAGTGTGGGTGCATGCCTTCCCCTTAATGATGAGGATGCTGAGGCCTGGAAGTGGAGCCCTTCTCCAGATCACAGCTCTGCTCACGCCCCTCACCCCTCTCAGGTCGCTGCCCACCCTGTGCCCTGGCTCCCTCAGGGACACTCACGCCAGCCTTTCCTCCTCCTGGGTCCGCAGGGCGAAGTCCCGCTGCACCACCTGCCACACGTGTTGGGCCTCCTCGTCTGTGAGCAGGGAAAGATCCAAGTTGTCCTCCATCACTGCTGCTCCCCTGGGTCACACCTGCAAGGCCACAGGGTTGGGAGGTCACGTGTCCACTGAGCCACAAGGTAAGAGAAAGGCAGAGCAGGAAGCCCTGGTCCCGAGTGGCTTCCCAGGTGGACAGACATGCATCTGGACATGGGTGTCACTAACAACTCCTGTGTGGTCAGCAGGTCTAAGGGAATCCCTGTGGGGTCCTTGCTCAGATGTTAAACGGGAACGCCCCCACCCAGGGCACCCAGGGTCACCTCCTCTCCTTCCATGGTGAGAGGCGTGACCATGACTGCTCTATGGAGAGATGCAGTGCCTTCCCATCCTGGGATTGCGCTTTCCAATGGGAGCACTAGGGCTGCTCCACCCTGACAAGGGCCCTGTCCCTGACACTGCCAGGGAGGGAGATACCAACATGGCACCACAGCAGCTCCGTCCAGATGCCTCGGTCCTGGGGCCCACTGAAGGCTGGTTTTGGAGTGACTGTAAGTTCAAATCCCAGTAAATGGCCTCAGTGAGTCTCCCTGGGGACTGAAGCTGCATTCTCTGGAAGGTAGGGGACAGGGGAGCCTGGACCCCAGCTGGGAGCCCATCCCTATTTCCCAGCATCAAGCAGGGGAAGGAAGCACTCTTTGTGGAAATGTGAATTCACTCCTGTTCCACGCTGGAAGTATGCTTTGATTTTGGTACCTAAGTGGTCAGTTATGAAAAGGGACACTGTCTAGGCAGCTATTAATTAAGGTGAAAATTTCCAAGAGCTCCACAGCTGTCCTCCAGAACACTGCAAAAATATTTTCTGCTTTAAAATGTGTGAAAAACAGCAGGATGTGGCGGTGCACACCTGTGACCCAGGGAGGTGGCAGGCGGGGCGTGGTGACTCTGGGGAGGTGAGCGGGACCTGTCAGTGACAAGCACTGGGACAGCGCCCCCTAGTTCCCAGGACCCCGTATCTGGAGCTACTCGCTGCTTGCATGAGATACGGAAGGCAGAAAGGTGGGCCGGATGCCACATCAAGCTTACTGTTGTGACGCCCACCATAGCCAGTGCACGATTTTAGTTTTGCTTTTATCTTATTTTTCTCTTGCTCTGCTCCGCAGAGTTGGTTTTGCTTATACCCATTCACCCTGCACCTTCCAAATAAACTTTTTGCATTATTGTTTTTTTTTTTTTTTTGAGACAGGGTCTCACTATGCAGTCCAGGCTGGCCTCGAACTCACAACACTCCTCCTGCCTCAGCCTCCTGAGTGCTGGGATGACAGGCATGAACCACCACATCTGACTCTGTTTGTGGCTCGTGTTGTCCAATTCTTTGTTGGATACAGGAAGGGCCTGGGATACTTTTGACTTGTGAGTCATTTCTAAAGGACCTGCCCAATACCATCTGCAGTCTTGGAGACTGAGGCAGGAGGAGTGCAAGTTCGAGCCCAGCTGAGGCAGTGTAGCAACGTAGGAAGACCTGTCTCAAAATAAAAATAAAAGGGGTTGGGGACAGACTTCAGTGGGAAGGCTCTGTATTTATTCCTTAGCGCCACAAAAAGAAAAGTGAGGAAAAATAATTAAAACACTTTGAAGACCTTCCCCTCGGCACGTTTTCTCTCAAGTCAGATGCTGATGGTGAGGAACACATTAGACATTTTCCACGGCCTGTGATTCTTGACCAACTGCTGCCCAGATGCAGTCGAGTTTCTGTCTTTGCTTATGCCACTGAGCTAAGTCCCTGACCCTCAGCACTGGTTTCTAAAGACCTGGCATAGAAAGTTCTTACTGGACTGATGACTGGGGCTTATTATTTTTTATCAGTTAAAAACTCCCAACTGTATCATAAGGACGCATTCATGGGAATTCTATTTTCAGAGCTTCAGGCAGCTGACCCTCAGCTGAGGAGTCTCCTCCTCTCTTCCAGTGCAGAAGCTAGGGCCCGGCCTGGCTGTGATGAACCCCAATCCTGGTGGGCAGGACAGATGCAAACCAGAAGGAAGAGCCCAGTTCTCTCCTGCGAGCCTGACTTTCTGGGGGCAGTCGGAGGCCAGTGGTGGCTGTGTGGAATTGTTGCCCCTACACACAGAGGACACTTGTCTCCTCCTTTCCCATCCTCGTTTCTCCTAAGGACTCAGTTTCTCAACTACACAAGCAAAGACAGCCGAAGCAGGAACCGGGAAAGGGGTGGGGGCGGCAAGGCTTCCGGACAGGCGGGGGTCTGCACACCCACCACGCAGGCTGCCTCCGGTGTGGCCAGAGGAGGGTCCTAGTGGGCAAGGTTCCCAGAGCTGTGGCAATGGCTGGGACATGCAAGGGGCCCCTGTGAAGAGGGAGGGAACCGTGTCGAGGCAAAGCACATTTTGGAGCCGTCACAGCTGAGTAGGAGACGCTCACCGTGACCTGGGTTTTAGTTTGTTGGTTTGTAGCGAGGATGGAACCAGGGCTTTGCATGTGGCATGAGCCCTTTGCAGCTCCATGGAGGGGCTGAGGAGTAAAGAGCGGGTGACCCAGGCAGAGAGGAGTTTTGTCACCTGTGACTGCTGTCCCCACTGACAGGACAGAGGCAGCACAGAGGGGCAGAGCTTTGTAGAAACAATTTCCAGAAACTAATCGGAAATCGAGCCAAGAATGTGTTTGATGTCAGTGTCTAAAGCCCACAGCCGAGAGTCTCTGGCATTTGGGGGCCCTGCTGCCTGCCCCCTCTGTCAGCCACAAGCAGGCATGGCATGGGATCACTGGCTGTGGGCAGCTCCTGGCCCAGCCAGTCATCTCCTAGGCAAATCAGTGCTCCCATCACCTCCGCTGTGCTTATCCCCCGAGACCTTGGGTCTGCACCTGGTGCCCCTCCACCCGCCACAGCACAGGAGAATGTGGGGACGCAGCGGGAAGGGCACCCCGGGTGTATGCTGGATCAGGGCGGGCACCTCTGCCGTCTGTTCCTTGTTCCGCTTCGTGCAGATAAGGCCGAGTCACAAGGTTCCTGGGCCTGAAGGCACTTGGGGTGAGTGCCCATCCCCCTGCTGGGAATTAATCCAACTCAAATCTTGGAGAGTCCATCCTCCCCCGTGGCTCAAGGGCCATCATAGAGACCAGGAGGGGGCTGGACAGGGTTCTGCAGGAGCGCGTGGAGCCGTTTCCCTCAGTAGGGCAATGTGAATTGCAAGGGTGTGTTGTCTGCCTCTGTGGGAGACTGCAATTTCCATTTGGGCACATGAGGGGAAATCTCCATGGGATTTTTTTTCTCCCTAGACAGAGACTTGTCTTAACCACTTGTGGGGACAGCTAGGAACCAAGGACCCTGGAATCCTTGGAGTGACAGTGATTGTGAGTGGCCGCCCACCTGAGCCAACAGAAACCGGAGGGCAAGGCCAAGTCCTCACGAGTGTCCAGGAACCATGGTGGGGATGCCCACTGACTCAGACTGAGGTGTGGCCACATTGCCACCGATAGAGGCGTGGCCTAGGTGCCAATGTGGCACCCTCCACTTTAACCCTTTGTGGTTGCCTCCCAAGCACTGCTCCCAGAGCTGTCTGTCCTGGGTGATTATTTCTGTGGCCAGGGTCTGCACCCATGGGTGTGTGTAGATGTGGGACCACCAGCCTTCATTAGCAGTGAGATGAGCACATTTTCACCTGGAATGTCTGTTCCCCTTCCTGCCAGGGAAGCAGCCACCGGATTGGTGCCCTGTAGCTTGGTTCCTGCCCACCCTGTCTTTCCCTGCTGGTACCTGGCTCTGGAGGTTTCTGGTAAACCCCGAATATGCATAGATAAAAGTTCTGTACTGTCTCTAAACCCAGCTCTCGTCTCCACAGCAATCCTGGGCGTGGGATACACTGCAGAGTGAGCCTGGCCACCCGGACAGGTTCCTTGGCCTGATGGCTGCTTCCCCATCTGAGTGTGGATAGTACTTCAGTGCCATGGCCTCTTTGGATGCACCGTACCATGCATACCATCAAGGAAGTTAGAACTGTGAGCCTCATGATAGGGCAGGGGAAGGGATTCCCTGAAGGCTTCCAGAAGTAATTTTAGAAAGGAACAAAGTGGTCAGTCTCGAGGGCTGCCTCAGTCACTCATTTGGAGGTGTGTTGGGGTCACATCCCCACTCCAAACCCCAGCACACTCTTTGCTGCTCATTGGCATCTCCGTCAGCACTGCCCACTGGCTCCTCCCATGTTCCCGGCCAACCCTGTGAGTGCCAGCCATGGCTCCCAGGTTTCAGGTCGGTTGCTGAGGCTGGACAAGGTGACTTCCTGCTGCCCACAGACCTCCCTGAGTCCCCAGGTCTTTGAATCTCTGTGGCAGGAGGGGCTGAGCCCAAGGCCTGGTAGCAAACGCAAGATGATTCCAACAAGCCTGGGCTTTCAGGGTCCAGGAGAGGGCAGGGACTCCCCCATGCCCTGCTGCTCATGCTAGAATCCCTACTTCTTTTTGCCTCAAGATCGCTGGGGTGGCAAGGAGGCCGTCTGCCCAGCAGCCTTGGGCCCGGGGTGGGGGGTCCTGCCCCAGACTCTTTGACTCAGCTCACATGCAGAGAGCACAGGCCTTCTGATGGAAACAACTTTCTGGGCTCAGGGGATCAAGAGTCACCTGTTCAAAGAATCCAGGAAAGGCCTGAGGTGTGGGGTTTAGGAAGCTGGGGGCCCCAGCACCAGCACCAATCAAGGCCTGGAGGCTGTGGCTGGGGTGTTCTGACGCCTTGGGGCTGCACAGCCCCGGCATGCTCCGTGAGCCTGGACTCCGGGTCCTGGGAGACCCCAGGTCCCAGTTCTGGGCGTACTCACCAGTCTCTCTGTTGGGTACGCTGGGCGGTAGCCAGAGGGCCTTTGGTGCTGTATTTTGGGTTCTGCGAGGGCGAGGGCAGAGGCGAGCCTGGGTGCACCGGGCAGCTGGGGCCCTAGGCTCGACTGCCCAGAGTGAACGCGAGGAGGTCTGGGCGCCGCCGGTCACGTGTCCCCACCCTGCCCCGCCTGGATCCCCAGGAACTGGGGACCTGGTCTGGCCTGGGGCGCGGCAGACTGGTGGGAGGCGCCGGGGCGGGGAAAGCCGGGTGCTCCAGGATCCCCCGCAGTTAGGGGAGGAGGGGCGGCGCACCTCGTAGGGCGCCCGACTGGGCGCTTGGGGAGGAGTGGCCGCCGCGGTCCCAGCCTACACCCGGATTCGCAGGCGGAGCGCCCGTTGGGTACCTTCGCTGAGCTTCTTTTAAACGCTATCTTCTTCGCCTCTACAGATGGGAAACTGAGGCTCGGCAAAGCTGTTTGGAAGCCTCAGGCTGGGGGGGGGGGGGCTTTGCACCCAGGAGTCTCCAGGCAGCGCGCGCGCCTGGCCACAGTGATCTTGGGACGGGACGTGGGAACCTGGGCTGGATGACCAGGGAAAGCCTGGAGGTCTCCCGCGTGCGCGGGCTTCCTCTGGGTCAGGGCCTGCGGGGCCAGGACAGGGCTGGGAACCGTGTTCACCCCTCGGACTCCGGGGCCAGCGGCCGGGTGTTCAGGGGTGCTTTGAGCCCGGCCAGCTCCGAGACGAGGGTCCACATCCAGCCGCAGGTCTTCTATCCCTCTAATGGCCTTGGACACCCGGAGCTGGCATCTTCCTTCTCCAGGGTATCCCTTTCAGCCGCCTGCCCCGAAAAACCATTAAACAAAACCCTTCTTCATCCAGGGCCAGGTTACCACCTTGGTGTCCATCTGCGCACAGGGGAGAGAAGACTGGACACCCAGACAGCTGTTGCCGCCTCAGAAACCGAGCGACAAAACTGGAAAGTGAACCGCACACAGTGCCACAGCGCACTGGGTAACCTGTAGAGCATTTTCCAGAGCCACCAGGCAGCTCCCTCAGAGCTCCTGTTGCCCCTGAGCCCGAGGTGGGTGAGCCCCATGGGGGGTTTAGGGATTTAGAGTCCCAGGCTGAGACAGGGGCTCTCACCCAGCGCTACAACCCTGGGAGTGGAGAAGCTTCAGCCAGGACTTCCCCAACCCTTAGCTTCTGTTCTTGGGGTTTTTATTTTCTTACCACACGCCCTACCATCGCTTGTAAAGCTAATGAACCCCTTAACAGTTGGCACTCGGATTGTAAGCTCCTTAAGGGCAGATAGTCTTAATGCTTCGGGGCTTATTTATATGAACTAATGGTTTAAAAATGTATAAAACCGATGCATAGTGATACAGGATAAAGCCACGTGGTACAGTACATGAAGAATAAAACCCCAAATCGTCAAGTTTATTCCTAGTTCCAACCCCATTCCTTAAGAACAATCATTAATAATGTATATTCTCTCTGTGTGTGTAGGTCTGTGTGCTTGCATATGTGTGCTTAAGCTCGCAGGCTGCAGCCAACGGCAGGAGTTGGAAAACCTGCTTGTCCACCAGCTTGCGTCCTGGGCTTATTTCCAACCTGCCCCTGCTCAGCGCTGCCCTCTGCAGGAGGGGGCAGCAACAGGAGCCACAGAACGGGTTGCTTCGAATGGATACACGCAAGGCTCGCCTGCCTTGTGGTGAGCGCTTGGTAAATACGGTGGTTAATGTAGACCCGCTTCACCGTTTTTAATGACTGTCCATGCTGTGAATTGCCACAGTTATCTTCCAGTCTCCCAGTGATGACAGTTAACTTTTATTTGCTGTGTTAAATAATTCTACCATAAATATCATCATAATTTTAAATCTTGGTGTACATATTTCTGATATAATACCATTATACAGATTATTTGTACCTATTAGTGTTTGTACATTCTTATGTCAATTTGTGTAGGATAAAAATCTTAAAATTGGAATTGCTGAGTATGCAACTTTCAGGTAAAATTCTAAATTCATTTTTCTTTTTGGGTACCACGAATTGATCATGCACTTTCCAGGCAGGCATTCATGCTGCTGAGTTATATCCTTGACCAAAAATTCTTTTTTTTCAATTCCATTTTATTTCAAGGATAAAAAGAAAACGAAAGGAAAAGAACAACCCCTAAAAATTTCAAAATACTTGAGATAGCAGGAGGCATTATGGTAACCATTGTTGATCACCTTGTATTATGTTTTTACATTATCTATTATGTCCACCCTTTTGATTTAACCGACTCTGTTCTGATATGTCACATTTGGTTTTACTCTCTTCCAAAAAAAGTAATAAGAACTGTGGGAGCAATAAAACCCAAAATATGTAATAGTCATTGTACAAAAGAGAGGAAAAGAAAGTGCTCTAAACGATATAACTGCATGTATATTTAAGTGTATAAGATAGACAATGTTATTACTGAGTTTTGTTGGATCATTGAACCGAACTGTTTGCAGTCTCACTGTTTGAATGTCTACTTTATATGCTTTAATTTTGTAACTTGAACAAATATTTCTAAGATGACAATATGTAATCTATTAACTAGTGATTTCCTACTGTTTATTTTTTCTGAAATTCTGTATAACTTGTACCCTTTTTCTGCTTTTTTTTCTTTTTCTCCTTAAATAAAATTAAAAAAATTTCAAAATACATCAATCTGGGGGCAGCAATGGTACATACATTGCACATTATCATCCCCAAATCATTCATCCAGGGCACAAGACATCTGCATTCAATTGTTCTAACAATATCAGCACAAATCTTCCTTTTCAATGAACTCAGAGAAATCAGTAGTACACTTACCTTAACTATTATATATATACATATACATACATTGCTTCTTGTATGATGAAACTATATGATGTCTACACATGTGTCTTCTTTATTTCACTAATGGGTATGTTCTCAAATTGCATCCACTTACCTATAAAAGTCTCCAGTTTATCCTTCTTTATGGCTGAGTAGTACTCCATTGTATAAAAACACCACATCTTTTTTAATCCATTCCTCAGTTGATGGGCATTTAGGTTGTTTCCAAGATCTGGCTATTATAAACTGTGCTGTTATAAACATGGGTGCACATACATCACTGTGGTAGGATGTTTTTAATTCTTCTGGGAAGACACCCAGAAAGGGGATGGCTGGATTGAATGGGACACTGATTTCCACAGTGGTTGCACCAGCCTGCATTCCCACCAACAGTGGAGAATGACCAACACAAAATTCTAAATTCAGAAACATTCTAAGTAATCAAAGCAATCTTACAATGACAAAAAGTTGCAAGTATGATTCAAAGAACCCTCTGTCTCCTAAGCATGCGTGTTAGTATTTTAAGGCAGTATTTTAAACAAATCAGAATCATGTTTGGTAAAACTGAAATCCAGCTATCACAGTGGGTAAATGACGCCGAGATTAAAATACACCTCTCCTTCGTTAGCTTGTTGGTGTTGGGCATCGTTTCCCAGAGATGAGAAATGATCAGGACAGCAAGTGTTTTCAGGACAGCAGGAAGGTGGATGCATTGAAAGTTTTCTTAAGCAATGTCACATGGCGAGAGTATGTTTGGGACCTCTGTGTGTTTCTGCTTCCCAGTGTCTCAGGGCTCCCCCGTGGGCCTCCTGCTGGTACCCTTGGCCCTCTAACTTTTTGGCCTGCTGTGTGACCTCCTCTTCCTGTTCACCTGCTTGGGTTACTGTCTGCTTCTCAAGGCTGTGTGGTTCAGCAGCTTGGGTCTTAATGGAGCCTGGCCTCTGCTGGGACCGAGGGGCAGGGGACCTGGGATCATTCCCTCCCTCATGCTGGCAGCAAGCTCACCACGGATGACAACCTCAGGAGTGCCCTTTAACTTCACTGCCTGATGGTCTGCATCTCTCAGGATGACCAGGCAGACCCGAGGGGTCTCCTTGGGCTTAGCCTCATCTCTCCGAGGGAGAGGAGGACCCTGGCCCACCAAGAGCCAGCCATAGAGTCTGGATGCACTGGCCTCCTTGTTGGCAGGTCCAGGCAAGGCTCGCTGTCACCTGCCCACCTCCTCCTGGGTCCTGTACCTCACTGGTAGGCAGGAGCTGACACCAGACCTGGATGGTGGAAATGAGGCTGGGACATACACAGTGATGTCTTTACCTGGGGTCCGCAGCTGAGGTGGGCTGGCACCAACCGAGGAATCCAGGCTGCTGCTCAGGCAAAGAGAGCAGTGGCTTTTAGTGATCGGCCAGGGTGAGACAGAGGCCAGAGGGCTTCCACTGGCCAGCAGCACAGTTCCAGAGTTTTCTTCTTATACAGAGTTGACCCCTGGGGGGTCATGATCCATGTGACCCAGAGGCTGTTGGATTTTTGTGTAGCTCGCACCATCATCCTGCACAGAACATCCCGACCCAGTGGGTCCTGTGATGGGACTGAAGGACATGGGTGCTCGGGCTGCAGTGGCTGTGGAGAAGTATAAGGGTAGGGTAGGAAAGAGGGAGTAAGAAAAACAATAAAACAGTTAAATTTGGATTTCAGATACATAGGAGTTTTAATTTATGTTCTAATTATTTTACAGGCCATGCTTAGGTGAAAACATTATTTTTGTTCATTGAAATTCAAATTCAATTTGGCCTCTGGTATTGACAGCTTAAAGGTTTTTACCACGGTTACAAAGGGAATCCCTCAGGTAGGTTTTTTACACCAAACTCAGGGGCCAGATGCGGGAGCGGTGGGATCCTGTGGCCTAGGACGTGAAGGTTAGGAGAATGAGTCTAAGTCTGCAGGTCTGGAACCTTCTGAGTAAGGAGAGACAGCCTGTCTCCTCCCCAGAGATACTGGTGTGTACACACCGGGCAAAGATGCACGGATGTGGATTCTCCCTGTGATGTCTGTCTTACTCAGCATTGGTCCCTATCTCTTCATTTCTGCTGGGCCAATTTCTAGGGCCAGGACCTAGCATAGCCCGAGTGGGAAAATAAAGTCCCACTCTGGTAATAAATTTCATCTTATGGTTGCAAACAGGGGTCCTGGTTAATACGTGTCACCAAGCATCAGGGAGAAAGTGTGGGGATGGGCCTGGAAGGCACTAACTTGAGTTTATGGATTTGACTTCTGGAAAAGGACACTTGGAAGTTATCTGGAAGCCTGGCTCAGGGGGCTCCGTGAAGCTGGAGTGTGGCATCCCTGAGGTGCAGACGCTGTACTCGCCTTGGCAGAGCACAGAGTGAGAGGAGGGAGTCCTGCGTGGATTTGTTAGGTAAGAACAATGACTCTGCTCCTTGGGAGGCTCCCGAGGGCGCTTTCTGCACCAAAGCAATAAGGCGGCGAAGGGGTCTTGCACCTTTGGGCCACACAGCACTGGCTTACACCACGGTCAGCGCGGTCAGTAGGCAGTTGTGCCATCAAATTGTACGAACCAGGAATGAAGCAGACACCAGGAATCTGAAATAGCAGAGTTCATGGGAAGATCTTAGCTCTCAGAGGCAGGGTAGATGACATTTTCACAGGGGGAGATGAGGAAGGTGGCCTGGGTCTCTCCGCTAATAGAGCATGATGTTCCGTGGGGCTCAAAAGGTCAGCAGCCAACTAGGGTACTGATTGTTCCCCGCACAAGAATTTGAGAAGTGGTGAGCAGCAGGCAGAGATCAGTTGATGCGAGGGAAAAATGCAATTCCTCACTAGGGGTTCAGGTCTAAGCAGTTCTCAGGTCTACCCAGAGCTCACTGACGAAGGAAGCCACGTTTCCACAAGGAAAGCTCTTGCAATGTGACCACAATTCATTCTACAATGTTCTATATTCCTCCCCCCAAAGGACTCATGTCTGTTTATTTTACATGGAGAGAAGGAAATATCCAGACTCTGGAGGGAGGGCGGTTCCTGGATGCAGATCCTCCTCTGACATCAGCCAGGGGCGCCGTTGGGTCACCATTGGACACAGGAGCTTAGAGAGGACGACACTGCACTTGTCTGTGTTGCCACAGGGATGGGCAGCTCATCCGTGTCGGTGTGAGCCTCAGGTACTGGGAGCCTGCTGGTCTGGTACACTGGTGACTCGACCTGGTGATCAGACCACAAACATGCTGGGTGCCCCAGTAATTTACCTTCTATGTGTACTAGAATCCAGGAGGCAAATTTTAGAGATTGAGGCGGATGGAACTTTGGTAAAAATTTTAGGAGAGTAAAGATGTACAGTGTCACGGGAGACACCCGAGAAGGTCAAAAACAAGTGACTCACTCTCCAGCCCCTACTGCAGAGCAGAGCTGCAGCACTGGGTGAACCCTGTGGATTTGGGAGGCAGCTCGTCCTCCCTTGGGAATACTACTCGGATCCATTTGGGAAGTGATCTGAAGGTTTGTGTGGGATGTGGAGAATGAGAAACCTCTGCAGGCACTGACGCAAGCCTCTCTGGTCAGTCAGGGGTCTGGAGACAATAAGATGGGAAGACAAGACCTACAGGTATGCGGGTGGACCTGAGAGTAGGCATGTAGACAAGTCATCGGTCACTAGAGGCCACCCCCTGCAGAAGGGACACGAATGAACAGGTATCCTGGGTGAGTCGTGTGGGCAGGCCGGACTCTGTGCTTGATCACTCTGATGATGTTCCCTGGTGTCCACAAGGGAGGCTGTCTGGGTCCATCACACCGAGCCTGGTCTAACTACTTCTCTTGCTGAATACCTGACAGATGCCATACCCGATATGTGGTACACCTCTTCCCCCCATAAGCCAAGCAGTCCCTGTGGAATGATGTGCATTTTGGGCATTTAGTGACGAGAGAGAGAGAGTGTGGAATGTGTGATTAAAGAGGAATCAAGATTTTAGTGTCGGAATAAATGCTCAGGCTTACTTTCTGCTCTTCTGAAATAACAAAGTAACCTGGAAATTAGTCAGTGAGCAATAATAACAGGACTCCAAAGGGTGGGTAGATGAGGGCGGACTGGCTGGAGAGCTCAGGACTGCAGGATTGAGAATACAATGATTTTTGTTTTCTTTTCACTTCCCATCGTCCTGCACTCGATGTCAGAGACTTGTACCCAGAGGCTCTGCCACGCCACAAAGGAAAATAAATCCCAGAGAAAGCTCTCCCTCCAGCCCAGGAAGTGGGAAAGGGCACCAAGCAGGGGCCAAGAAGAGCCTTAGGCCTGCTCAGTAACCCAGTGGGCCCGAGGGCACGAGATCTGTGGGCGGCAGGATCCCAGCCAGGCTCCAGGCGCTCCACCCTGCTCTGTGACCAGGGGACAGTTCATCCGACACAGCGGTGGCAGTGAGCCTCACATCTTCCTACCCTCCACTTAGCGACATAAGGAGACCCATCTAAGTTACAATATGTGGCCCCGGGAGCTGCTTCTGAAGCCCCCACAGACAAGCCCGGCAGGGACCAAGTAGTACCTGAATAGGAATCAAACCCTAAGAACACAAAAGCAGGCAGAGCCTCTGTCTCAACCTGTGCAGCGTGATTGTTTGACTACACGGGACCTAGGACCAAGTCTCCTATCGTGCTCACCCATGGCCAGGACCCAGGACAGAGTGTCTGGGCACATCCCGAGCCAGGAAAACCACCCACATGGGAAGAACGGCCGGTGGGTGTAACAGTGAGGGGAGTTGGGTGCTGGACCTGTCTGGAGGGCATTTATAGCACTTGTAAGTGTGCTTCAAAATCAGTGCCATAAAAATGCCTCAATAACC